TGGCCAATTTTCCTTACTTTAAGGCCTCAAACACACTGCTGCTCCTAAACGTGAGTTTAAGAGCTTTTGTTGTTTCTTGCCAAAGCTCCTGAACCTAACTCAATAAAAGCCTATGCATGCATGCTCACGTAGGCTTTTATCAGAGTTTTTTAGCATCAGCAGAGTTTAGGGGCAAAGAAACCGAATGAGCCTGTCCAACAGTATGCATTAAAAACAGGAGTGCAGTTAGCACACATTTGCAAATTCATGCGTAAGCTGCAGAGCCTCTTCACGGTACCCCAATATTCTGCAGTTCCTGAGACCCCCCCCCCCCCCCCCCTAGTAGAGGCACATGTGTTAAATGGATAGACCGAGGGCAGGTGAACCTGATGGAGCCCCACCCCTCCCTAAAGGTACAGGAGCGCACTGGACACCCTGCATATGGCACAATGGCAGCCAGTGTGCCCCCACACCAACAATGATTGGTATTTTCGGCATTTCAACAATGCCAATTTAAAATTCTGAAATTGAGGAATGGTCACTAGGACAATAATGGAAAGGTAACTCTCTCTAATTTTGACACTGAAAACAATAAAATAATAGATATCTAACCCCTCATCACTGCTTCCAAAACAAAAAAAAGTTTTTGCTTTAAGATGCACTGTGGGGTCAATTTACTAAAGGCAAATAGGTTGTTTGCAAGGGAACTTTTCCAAGAGCTTAGTGAATGAGGTGAAATTTCACTTTTCAAAGAATATCAAATCATATCTATGGAAAATTAAAAGAAAACAAAACCCACAATTTTTGCTTGGATGATGGACATCAGCAGGTGTTCCCTTCATTCACTAAGTTCCTGGGAAATTTCCCTTGCACAGTGCATCTTCCCATTCAAAGTGAACAGTCTATCTGCCTTTTAAGTAAATAAACATCTAACACTAACAAATAAAGTGATGCTATCTCCATAGCTGTGCTGTCAAGCAGGGGTCTATGAATTCAAAATCCCTTGGCAGATAAAACATCAACTTTGGGAAATTCTTGTCCATCCAGTCCTGAGATCTACACAACTATAGAACACAGTACAGCCCTGTCTTACAGGAGAAGGGACTTTATCATCCTGTGCCAATGTTTCACTCTTTACAGTCCCACTGACTGGAGAGCAAAAGGAGAAGCAGCACACTCATGAGAATATCTCTCTGTCACTCTGATCTCTCTTTCTATCAACATGCCATTACACAGCAGCACTCCAGACAGGCTCCCTGTGCTGCTTCCCCCTTACTGAGCTATGCTTTACACACTATACAGAGGCTGATGACAAGTCAAATGAATGCACTGCTTGCATTTATTGATATAATAATTAAAACACAGCTGCATTGATGTGTGTAAAACCTTGCCAGGTTTTAGAAGAAATAAAAATAGCACATATACAATATTATGTATTAACATTATTTATTTGGTTGAAAAACAAACATGGATAGACAAGAAATGTACAAAAGTATTAAGGTGGGGAAAGACGGGAAATGAAATGGACATTAGGACACAAAACATATTTCCATATAACAAACACATTGGGGAAATTGTGCAAAAAGTTGTTACATTCTAAAACTCTACATTACATTTGGTCAAGTGTCCTATAAAAATATATACATGTACAAAATGTCTAAGTCAGGTCTACAAAGTGGTGCAGGAATCAGATCATGATACAAAATCTGGGGAAGGTTATAAGTAAACCCCTGTCTGGATGTCCGTAAAATGTTAAACAGATGAGTATGGGCCTTTGGTCAATAAAAGAAAATAAAAATATTATATACTGTTTCATCGAGGTAGAACTTTTTTTTTTTGCGAAGTCCTTTAAACAATTTAATTATTAGTAAATTCCATGGTGTCAGCTGATGGGAATCTACCACCAAAAAAGTAGTATTTTGACTTGCAGCAGGTCAATAATCACATAAAATATTGCAATTATATTTGCTAGAGTAATACGAGACTCACTCTTGGATCGTGCATATGAGCGGAAGGCTCTACTGCTCCTCTGAAATGCATTCCCCAGAGGATCACTATTTCAGTGAAAGCTTAGAGCTAGTTTTTAGGCATTCAGGAGGCCCAAGGGGGAATTTGGTAAAATACTGCACCACAACTTTGTGCCAAGTGTTTGCCATATGGTTTCAATACAGTCCCATTGACCTTATTGGGCAAGTCTGGCACCACTTGCCAAACTCAACACGTCAAGCGGCCACCATGCCTTATTGAGGGTGAGTGGTCAGGGGTCTAAAAATCTGGACCAATTGCCTGTTTTTACCACGCTCCAGCAGCCCATGTAAAATAAACTCGGTCATTTTCAATAAATATTTGCATTTTCTGGTTTGTTCAGTTAGAGAGTTAAACATTTAAATAGATGGTGTCAGTAACCAGTCAAGCCCTATAGTGCATGTCTCTTAATTGTGAGGCTCTGTTGTGTGATCCAGTTATGCACACTAGGAGACCTGGAGACAGAGCATGTTAGCAGGAGTTGTGGAAAGTGACAGGGCAGCAATCTTAGGGGATTTCTCAACTCACTCTTGGCCCTAGTTTCTCAATTGTGATGTACCTGTTTAATCTACAGAGATTATCAACTTCAAAATAATTCAAATAATTAGTTGCAGAGTCTGAGGGACAGTTCACACTACATGTGTTTCAGTTGCTTTTTTTCTGCATCCAAAATGCACAGAAAGTAGGTTATATGGTTGTCAATGTCATAGTTCACATCATTGCTTACAGTTCCAGTGAGTTCCGGTTGCAGAAAAAAGATTTAGAACATGCAGCATTTTTTCTGCACACAACTGTACTGGAACGTGGTAAAATGCATCACAATTGCACTAGAATGCACATGTCCCTATTTAAATTGAAGAAGAAAAGAGAGGAAAAAATTTCCTGGAATGCATAAAAAAATGCACTCTAACGTGTCAAAAAACGTGCATGTGAAAACACATCCGGAATTCATCTGGACTGCGTTTCTATAATGTGAACCAGCCCTAAAGACAACTAAAGAAAAGAGGATTAGATTGCTTTCCAAAATAAAAAATCCAAAGCTTGGCTCCTGCAGTGGAAGACACTGAATGCTTAGCTCTCCTATGATGAATCTGAACTCGGCTGTCTTCCAGCAGTACAGCCTTCAAAAAATCTTTAGCATTTGACATCTCCAGGGTTGTTGGATTCCTACATCTCCTGTTGTGTGCTGTGTTTCCTCCCACAAGCCCATGCATTACTACTCCTATTACGAGTCCTTTGGAATTGTAGGGGTCAACAAAGGAACTATCGTGTGTTGTGGAGTGAGGGAGGCATTTGACTCTTCTTGTAGTGTTGAGTGCCATAGGCTTTCCAGGAGGCTGTACTGCTTGAAGATCCACCACCAGAGAGGTAAGTGCTCAGTGTGTTCTACTGCAGGAGCAAGAAAGTCATTATAAATTACATTTTTGTTTGCTGGAAGTTGCTAATGGTAGCAAAGAGTGGTCCCCAATTTAGTTGCAGCAAACAAACTAAACCCTGGCATTAGAGCAAGAAGATCCAGTCCCACTGGCCAACCACTAGAAGGTTCAATATCAGTAGTGTAGGCAGGGAGAGGGCATAAATACTTGCATGCAACCTAGTGAAGCTCTCTTTCCCTCAGGATCTTGCCTGTTGGAGGAGGTGTAAAGATGTTACATCCTCAGCCTGCTACCCAGGGAGGACGCCCACGTACTTAGGAGACAAGGTTTGAGTCTTAGGCCTAAGCCTTCTGGAGGTGTTTTTTCCCAGCAAGTGTGGAGCCAGTCCTAGGAAGAAGCACCAGTGAGGAACTTTGGCTGGTGGTGCCTGGAAGCTGGCTGGCCCTTACAGAAAGTCTGAAGTCTCACCCAAAGAGTTTACTGTTACTTCATCTACTCTTCATCCTGGAGTTCAAGTTCACATGATGTCAGGTAGGTTTATAAGTTCTTTACCTGTGAAGGCTGAGAGTAAGATTATTATTCCGCTACTGGAGTTTGCTATACCCTTGGGGGATGTCTTGTGCCCTAACCCTTTTCCTTTATTGTACAATAGAACTTCTTCAAGCAAAAGATCAGTTGGATGGAAGTCAGTCAATCAGTTGCCACTGTTAGGTCAGTGAGTGCCTTGCAGTCGCTCTGGAACTGTTTAACCCTAGACAGGTTAGAAGGGTCCAATACAACCAGATGCTCCTTCAGGGGTAGCGCTACAAACATTACAATCTCAATTAGATGTGTCAACCCTATGTAAAACAAGGACCTACTTAAGAAACTTGTTTAATTTGACAGATACTTTCACTACATAGCAATTGGTATTTTTAAATATCAGCATTTGTACAGTTAGTTGTTCATTTTCAATTTAAGACTGAATGAGGCAGGATCTAGGACCCCAGTGGTGTCACCAATCAGGATGTAAAACTTCTGCATTGCCTCTGTGTTCTTTGGCAGCTTCTAGTGAGCTTCAGTCATTAAAGGGTTGCCAGTGTAATGCAAGATAATGAGAAAGATCCTGGTGGGGTAATTAGATGAACAATGACACATACATAAAGATGACCAGATGAATGACCATGTTGTTCTCTTACTAAATATTGCACAGGTTGCTGTCAGGTATTTGGGAGAGAGCTGTTTTGATTGCACAAGGGAAGGATAAGGTCCATTATGTTAGGCCCAGTGACACCTATTTCCTCATTTACAGTACATTACTTACAACTGACAAAGGGGTGATCAAAATCTTCGACTGACTCATCCATATTCTGAAAACTATTTTAGATTTTCGGGGACGGAAGTGAGAGAAAGGCACACACATCTCTCTCTTGTTAGTCACATATTCTGAATCTCACACTAATTGAGACTTTAGAAAATAGTTCAAGTTTTCTTTCCCAACAAAAGGAAACATCTGGTAGAAGATTCTTTTTTGGTTGTGGTTGTTCTTGAAGCATATTTGGAATGACACGGATTGCAGATTGTCCTTACAGTGCAAAGTCTTCCTTTGTTCCTTGGTTTCAAGCATCTTAACGTTCATTCCTATTTAGTTCCGCAAGTGTTGATGTTTTTTCCGTCTGATGCGTCTTCCACTAGTGACACGTGGTAGTCAGTGGAGAGGGGTGAAGTGAGAGATGCAACCTATGAGGCCTCCAACATACTGTCTGTTTGTGTGTAGGGCAATCTCTTTCATTCCACCTAGCAAAGAATGAATTAAAATATTAGAGCAAAAAGTAAAATTAGTCTGCTGCTATCAAGGAAACAATGGTTTAGTCTGAAAGCTCAGCCACATTGTGTTGTATAGATAGAACTATAGCACATGTAGGCTTCTACTTGTGATTCTAAGCAGGCAGGGAGAACGTATAAATATTTGGGTGTGGCCCGATGAAACTCTGTTCCTCTGAGCCTAATAGTTGGTGTGTGCTTAATGTTTTGTCTTCCTTTGCCTCCTGCCTAGGGAGGACACCCATGCATGTGCTTGTGAGACAAGCATTAACATATATACCCAATAATCTTTTTAGGGGTGACAGCACTGCCTACATACAAATAACAATGAATAGCCCAACATTAAACATCAAGAATAATCAGCAAACAACAGTCCACGATTCTTTATTGTTCCACACTTGTTCACAGCAATCCACATTCACTGTGTGATCCAGCTCATAGGAACATTACATTAATATGATGAAATGCGTAGGATGGAACTTCCAGTGACGTCACATCTGCTTCCTGTGAAGCACACGGCCACCATCTTGGATGTGGTGTTTTTCATTCTTACAAGGCTATAGATGGTTTTAATGATTGTAAGTGCAATATTCTATATTTTTTGTCTAATAAACAATACTTTCACTATATAGAGCCCTCTCTCCCCTGATGCATGGTACTTGTTATAGCATCTCTGAGTTATATAGCAACACTGGGGGATTGGAAGGAGACCATTTAAAGAGACAGAGCTGCATACTACCAGGATTTGGTTTGGGAGCACTGTGTTGACTCATTTGGTAAAACAATGGGTCAATATGATGGTCCTTTTGCTATCTGGAATGGTCCCATCTTGGAGTACCATTTTACCAGCACTTCTTTTTTACAGTGAATGTGGATTGAATGTGGATTGCTGTGAACTCTATACACCTAGTGTGAAATTATATAGAATTGTGGATTGTTATTTTCTGATTATTTTTGATGTTTAATTTTGTGGTATTCATTATTATTTGTATATAGGCAGTGCTGTCACCCCTAAAAATATCAGTGGGTATATATTTTAATAGTTTTCAAGGTGACTTATCACTTTCAGACAGCCACTACCCTTTTTTCAGGTTGTATTTATATTGTTTTGGATTACACACTGTAGTGCAGACATATTTTTTGATGCTTGCGAGACAAGGCCCGAGTCTGGGGCCAAGGCTCACAGTAATCTTCTGGAGAAGAATGTCAGGACAAGGGAGTGTGCTTCCACCCTTAGAGGCCTAGCGCATGCTCCGAAACGCGTTGCTATGCATGCTGGTCCACATACGTCATCACACTGACATGGACGTCGCGCCTCAATATGCTTTCCAGATGCCATCTTTAGAAGACTACACATGCCGGCCGACTCTTTCCTACATCCACGGTCTTCCGAGTGTAGATGCGGCTGACACAGCATGGACACAGCTGTCTTCCCATCTTTCTGAGCTTGCTTTTATTATGCAATATATGAGTTGTTCTACATTTGTTAGCCATTAAAGTTACCTATACTGCACTTAGAGGTGCTTCTTTTCGTCTCTATTCTATAGAGAGTTCTGCTACTACTATATGAGGCTTGACCTAGTGCTATATGGACTTCTGTAGCTCTACATTGGATTTTTGGACTCTTATAATTCTTAATAGCTGGGTGGTAGCACTTTGCGATCATTGTTCTCAAATTGAGTTTCTTGCTCTCCTGATTTGGACTACAAATGGCTACTCCTATTCTCATTTCCATGACATAGGGAGGAGATGTTCTACATTTCATGAAGGTATCTTGGAAGACTAATATCATTGTTTGAGATATCAGTTCAATGTGCAGAAGTTAGGATACTGGAGTTTTAGCAGGACCAATAGGTATTTTCCTGTACTTGCAAAAAATTTATTACAGGCTACTAAGCTGTAATATGCTTTTTCCTAGGCTGAGATATTCTTTAAGGGAAATGGTGTTCCTAGAAGGAAGGCAGTGTCCAGTAGTGGGCTGACCCATGCCTAAAAAGCTATTCCTAAATGAAAAACAACATCCCAGAGCAGTTAGCTCCTCTCTCATGTGAATGTCATGGCTTGATTTTTATTTTGCACACAGATGGCAAAAAATAACAAAAACTAACAGTTGTTTTACTACCTCCTACTCTATCCAAAATGTAAAAAATGGTTATATGTAGATATACTTTAAGCCCTGCCTATTGACAAAGCGAGCAAAATCTCCAAACAGCCAGTAGGTGGTCTTCCTTGTTCATTGGGTAGGCAAGGATGCTCTGGTCATGGAGGGAGTCCAAATGCTTGTTCAACAGTATGTTTTTCTTAAATTTAATTTGATGTGTCCTATAATACAACTTCATTTATGTTTAGGATAGCTCTACTATTAGGCTCGTAAGGGTGAAATACGTTAGAGTGGGGCAGCCAGTAAGTGGGGACACTTTGGAGTTTATTTACTAAAGCCGGAGCGCTTAAAATCCGGTGAAGCTGTCCATGGTAGCCAATCAGCTTTTAACCTCAGCTTGTTCAGTTAAGCTTTAGCAATAAAACCTGGAAGCTGATTGGTTTCTATGCAGAAGTGCACGAGATTTGGAGAGAACCAGCTTTAGTAAATAAACCCCCTTGTGTGTGTTTGTGCTAGCTGATTAAACTTGTGCTGCTTTATCAATGAGCAACTCAGTGTCTGGTGATAGTGGGACCAAGGCATACTACCTTGGAGTCAGCATCTGGTTTGCTTGAGTGACTGAAGCTGAGGAGGATCAAAGGAGAATAGAGCAGGGCCTCTTTTTGCAGACATCTATCCATGTTCCACAGTCTACGTGTGTGCTTATTGTCTGTGAGTCTGTATATATCATACTCAACCCAATCATAACCTAACTTCATAAGCACTCACCAACATAGAGGTCTCCATTAATGTTTAGTTGTCGCATTAACCCTGGAGATTTTCCTGTCCTGGCACCATAGTCATCCACTGTCACCTTTCCTGACTGTCCATCTCTGGAAGAGAAAAGTGATAATGAGGGGGCAATAGAAGCATTATTCTGTTCCAAGAAAGGTGCACCTTGCCTTCTGTCCCTTTTTGTTCACCCCATTCTTATCCCTCTCCCTCCATACTCCTTTCTAGGGACCGCACTAGACACCTGATCTGGAGATGTGCAGTTTAGTCTGATCGTTCAATTACACAGCCTTGAAACTGTTTGAGACTTGGTACTATATATTCCTCGATAGACAAAGAGAAACTCCAGGCAAACAGATCAATAAATAGAAAAACGAATTGTAAATTTTCCCTTTTTTCTTGCCAAAGGATTTGTAATCCTGTTAAGTCTTGTTATTTACATACATTTGCCACACTCCACACCCAGTCTGCTAAGACACTCTCTTCCTGGTTCGCCAATGAATGAATTTCAAAAAGAAAAGGAACATTGAAGAAGGAGGTAAGATGACAACTTGTTAATTATGTATTAAGCCTTGTACACACGATGAGAATATCGGATGAAAAAAATGCATTCGGAGCGATTGTCCAATAATCTATTTCAGGGCTTGAAATTTCCACTCGCCTGCTCGCATTTGGCTAGTGAAACTAACATGGGGGGTGAGTGTGTCCCAGGCACCGCATTGGAGGGTGGGGACGGGTGCTACCAGCAGTATCAACCTGCCCCGAGCTCTATGTTGAGGGGGACGCACTGCTGGTGCCGCTCTTCAGTGACCGAAGTGATCGCAGTTTCACTCCTGTCACAGGGAGCAGCTGCTGACACTTGCTGGAGGGAGGACAAGGCTTTCTCCTCCCTCTTGCCTGTGGGGGGCAATAGCCGGCACTAAGGAGTGAAGGCAGAGTGTCCTTCCTCTCTCCCCTTGTCAAGTGACTTATCACATGACCGAAGGAGGGAAAGAAGGAGAAGCTGCATTCACAAGAAGATCTGTGAGTACAAGGGGGAAGGGTGAGGTTACACTTATGGGGACACCTGATGTAAAGGGGGGGCTCTGATGGGAACACCTTATATAAAGGGGGACTCTGATGGGGACACCTGATGTAAAGGGGGACTCTGATGGGAACACCTTATATAAAGGGGGGACTCTGATGGGGACACCTGATGTAAAGGAGGACTCTGATGGGGACACTTATTTTCATTTTATGTTTACATTGTTTTATGTTAACCACTTGCCCTCTAGACTCTATTAAGCTATTGCTGTTATGTTTAAATTGACATAATAAAGATATGTTATAATTGCTGTTTTTTATATTTTGGACACTTTATTCTAAAGAAAAATGTAATTTCATAAGCTTTAAGGGGGCGGGGTTGGGGAATGGGCCTGGGGTGGGGTTGGAGGCAGACCTGGTTTGGTGGGGCAATTGATGGAGAGTAAGGTTTTTGCCTGGCTAGTAGGTCTAGACTTGAAATTTTAAGCCCTGATCTATTTATTTTTTTTTTTTTCCAAAAAAAGTTTTTATTTTGAAATAAGAAAGGCATAACAAGTCATATACGGATACGGAACACAGTCCGTGCATAAACATCTGTCTTAATCTCCCGTAGCGCAGACGGGTCATAAATTGTTTATTTGAAGTATAAATTACCCTGATACAAAAGATCACATTATAGTAGATGAATGAACTAGACCAATAACAGTGCTGATTATGATAGGTAGTCTGGAGAATTATAGTGGATGCTGCTCTTATGAGTAGGGATTACTCAAATAATGGGACTATGAAGCGTAGTACAATGTGTCCTCTGAAGGCGTACAGTTCTTCTGTGTCCGTAGCCGGGGAATATAGGGTTCTTATTGTGAAAGACAATCATACCTATATATGAAAGGGCACTCTGTCCCTCATAGAAGATGTAGTTACTTGTAGAAGAAAAAGGTGTGAAGAAAAGTAGGAAAGGAAAGGAGAAAGGAAAAGAAGAGAGAAAGACACATCAGGTGAAAAGAGGTGGGAAGAGTAACATTATAGAAGGAAGGGGATAAAAAAAAAAAAAAAAAAAAAGGGGGGGGGGGGGGAAGGGGTGGAGCCGATCAAATAATGAATAGTGGCTGTCAACCAATCATATCATGGAGCATTATTTATGGTAACTTAGATTATACCTTTATGTAAGATATAGTCTGGGTAGACACAGTCTGTGGAGCAATTCTAGAGGTGAGAACTCAAAAGGTTTTTGTGTTTTGGATCTCGTCTCATTCATTCATATAAAGACGATAAATACTGGTGGTTTGAAAATGTTTCCAGCACGCCCAAGTCTTCCTGAATCTCTCGGGGTGTTCTTTTGCCACTGAAATCAGCTCCTCCATCTCCGCAATCCTAATGACCCTAAGAAACCACTCCCGCACAGTGGGAACCTGTTTTGATCGCCAGTGAACAGGGATACATTGTTTTGCCGCGTTTATCATGTGTAAGGCAAGAGACTTACGATAAGTCCGAAAAGGAAGTGAGGAGTGGTGGAGTAAAAATTGTGCAGGGGTGAAGTCTAGATTATGCGTGGTTACTTGTGAAACTAAGTCTCGCACTTTTCTCCAAAAGGGCAGCAGCAGTGGACAGTCCCACCATATATGTAGGAGTGTACCCTTTGCCCGTTGACATCTCCAGCACAAATCCGAAACATCAGGATCAAATCTATGAAGCAAGGATGGAACTCTGTACCATCTAGAATATAATTTATAGTTGTTTTCTTGAGTAGAGACACATATGGAACCTGTATGCATATGATCATAGATGTGACCCAATCTTCCGGTGACAATGGCAGTTGTAGGTCGAGCGACCAAGCCTCACATGCCTTTCGAGGTTGAGACATATTGGCGGTATCCAGATAGGAATAGAGCTTGGATATAACATGTCTCTGGGGGACGTCCGTAAAGCAAAGTTTCTCATAACGGAGTAAGTGGCCTTGAATAATCTTGCATATGTGGGGAGCTTCGTATAAAGTGATGAAGTTGTCTAAACATCCATGGCGTAAATATTAGGGATGGCCATGTCTTCATAATGTCCTCTCTAGATAAGAACTTCTTATCTTTGAAAAGGTGAACGTACCGTCAGGTTTGTCTGGACAATTATCTCCGGCTAGGAAGGCCCGGGACATACCCGGCAGAAAGTCTGGATTCATTTTGATCGGAGTTAAGGGACCCGGAGAGGAAGAGAGTTCTTTTCCGGAACAACTGATGGCAACAGCTTAAGGTAGGACCTATAAGAGGGTGTTCCCGAAACTCTGAAGGAATATGAGAGTTTTCCAGCCAAGGGGAAGGGGCAAGTGGTATCGTTGAGAAATCTGCCTCCAAACCAACCCAAACTTTACAATTGTGGGTCGTGGTCCAATCTACTACCCTGGCTAGGTGACAAGCCCTGTAGTATCGGGCAATATCAGGCAATCCAATACCTCCACCGTTTTTGGGCATGGTGAGTTGGGCAAAGCTAATTCTTGGGCGTTTATTAAACCAAAGAAAGGAGGTACAGAGTGTTTTATAAGATGCGAAGAAAGAAGATGGTAATTTAATTGGTATTGTTTGCAGTAGATACAATATTCTAGGAAGCACGTTCATCTTGAGAATGGCAGCTCTACCAAACCAAGAGAACCAAGGTTTATTCCAAGTTTGAAGGTCTGTGGAGATATTACGCAAGAGGGGTAAGAAGTTTTTATCGTAAAGTTCCGTTAGGTGAGTTGGTAATTGGATACCCAGGTACGTGATCGCCTTCGACTGCCAGGTAAAAGGAAAATTCGATTTCGCTTGTCTAAACACATCTTGGGTCAAGGAGACATTAAGGGCTTGAGATTTAGAGAAGTTAATTTTGAAGTTAGCCAGATACTGGAACAATTTGAATTCTTGTAGCAGATTAGGTAAAGTGATATGTGGGTCTGTTAGGAAAAGTAATATGTCCTGATCTATTTATTAGGACACAGCTTTCAAGAGCTAATCACGACAGTTCATGTAAAAATATCCGAAAGGGCAAGCACAAAAATACTTTTTTTAAGATAACAGAATGAATGATTTTCATGTAATTAGTATAGTATTTGTACAAAAAAAAAATTGAGTGGCCAAGACCAGGCGTGCTCCGAAACGACAGAACACAATACATTACATTACTTCCGAAGAATTTTTGTAACTTTAGTAACCTATACGTTTTCTATATGAGACTAGCAGCAAACAAAAAAAAAAAAGGACGATCAATTGTCCGATATTCTCATCATGTTTATTAGGGTTAATCCTCCTGGCTAGTTTTAGCTTTAGGAACTGATATCCACAGGACATTTTTTGGAAGCACCACTATATATGTGATAACTAGAATAGTTACATAGTTCTAAGCTGGCACAAAGCAATAAGAAGGTTCTAACCGTACAGCCTTGACCCACCCGGTGCCATCGTCCATCATTGAATGTACCGTTCACCATTATGGAGATCATTCCACTGCCCAGGTTATAGCTGCAGGAAAGAAAAGAAAATAAAGTACACTCTTCTAATCTTGGAGGGTTTGCTTTACAGAGCACAGGCTGGTTTGAACCTAGCCTTAAAGCAGACCTTCTATTAAATAGAATCTCAACTCACTATAATGGCATGAGCAACCCTAATGCAAAAATAATCTCAAATGTTTCCAAACACTTTAGGGAGGTACATTCCACTAAAATGGTCTTTTTTAGATTCAGTGGCTTAGAAAGGTTACCAAATCAGTGAGAGGGGAGATATGAACTGTTTATTGGAAGAAACAAAATGGATTTTTTCCTTGCAGACTAGAATACCTGCAGGACAATCACAAGTGGGACGTGGATTTATTTCTTAAATAATTACTAGCATTTTCAGTCCCTCCACAATCCCATATTTTTCTTAAAATCCATTTCTTTAAGTTTCCCCCATAGATCTCCTTTTTTTAACTTTTTTTTTATTTTTATTTTTTTGTCATCAGGAATGAAAAAGTATTATCCCATAGATGGTACTAATAATATTCTATTTAATGCCCTTTACAGCTATATATTCCTTCTGATCATTATTTATATTGCACACGTTAGGGTTAACTTTTAATAAAATTGTATTGAATTTTGAAATGGTAGGTGCCCTGAGGTGTACCTTTTACGACATCCTTGCATTTTGCTTTTTGACTTTATTATTTATTGTCAATTTTTATTTTATGTTAATCACTTTTCAGTTGTGTTTTTCACTTTTCATAGTTTTTCTGTTGTGAATCTCTTCACCCATCAAGGTTATTTTCTAGCACCTGTCACTAATTGGCTGGTTAATCTACTGAATTGCCTGATGGGTATGAGGAGGAGTTTCTTTTTTAGATTCATTTATTTGGTATATATAAATGTAATGTCCTGACTTGTACTTTATGGCCATGACTAAGGCTTATTGCTGAAAAATGTAGGCCATTTTATTTGCACATTTTTACTCGTTCAATAAAGTTTACTAAATATACATAAACAGCGCAAAAATAGACCTCTAAATAAAACAAAACTTTTTTACATAAAGTGAATAATACTAATAAATATATCATAAACCATAAATTAATAGTGAATGTCCCCAATAATAATAAACACCAAAAGTCCGTGTAAGATGAAAATAGAAATTTCCAAAAATTCTTCAAATGTAAAGAAGCTTCCACCTTCCACCCATGCAAACCAACATCAAATGCACTCATCAAATATTGGTGAATGAGATTAAGGCCACTCACATGTCAGCAACTTTAAAAAGCACATTTATTGAAACCATGGCCTCCAAATGGAAAACAAGCACTTTACAGCCTCCTAATTCAGGAATCCCACATCACAGCCACAGGATAAAGCAGAGGATCCACACAGAGATCAGCACAGTTCCCAAAGTGGCCTTAATCTTTGCTTTTAATTATATTGTTGATTGGCAATATTACACTATTTGAGGTTTTTTTCTCCCGGTTGAATGGTGGAGCCATTCTGATGGTGAAGAAGTCCATAGAGTGGATGCTAAAGAGGGTTTAGGATCCCTTTAAAATCCCTAAAAGCTTCTCATTCACCAATATTTGGTGAGTGCATTTGATGTTGGTTTGCACGGGTGGAAGGTGGAAGCTTCTTTACATTTGAAGAATTTTTGTAAATTTTCTATTTTCATCATACACGGACTTTTGGTGTTTAATATTATTGGGGACATTCACTATTAATTTATGGTTTATGATATATTTATTAGTATTATTCACTTTATGTAAAAAAGTTTTATTTTATTTAGAGGTCTATTTTTGCGCTGTTTATGTATATTTGGTATTATTTGTGTTTTTCACATTGCACAGCTGAAGTTTAGACTTTGTAGTTTTTTATTGGCGCAGAAATAGTTGTCACTTTAATAAAGTTTACTGTTTGGGAAGATGAGTGCCGGATATACCCATCCTCATTATTCAGTTGCATCTGTGCTGGGAAGACACACAGAGCCAGAGCACCGACATTCCACCTGCATGGGGATTATCTCTGGGCGTAGCACCTACTTGTTCACATCTAGTTTGAACCAAGCCTTAAAGCAGACCTTTCATTAGATAGAACCTCAGTTTTTTTTTGCCAGCCCATCCCTCCAGCCCCCCCAACACAAATGTCTTTAAAAAACATTGCTCAGTGAAGAACTCCCAAACACATAAAGAGAAACTCCATCTTCCAAGGCTTCGCTGAAAGTCAAGGGTAATGTCAACGTGCCTCCTGGAAAAGCTCGGTGCCAGAATTAACACAGACCAGCTCATCGCAGGCATGTATTCTCATGGGGTCTATATCATCTGGATTTGCCAGGAAGCATGGTGACATCATCCATTTGACCGGTGACATCACCCATTTAACTGTGTTTGTATGCAGCTTGTCTGTGCTTTTCCTGTTCTTCGGCACATTATTTCTGCTCCATTTACATGTCCAGAATCTGGACTGTCTCTGCCTGACCTGCCCATTTGTCTGAGGACTAAAAAACACCTATAAACTCCAAGGCAGAAATTATCTTGAAATACCTAAATAAATATATCACTGAATAACCAAACATACCTAAAAACGAGAGTCCCCTCCTGGAGGCCCAGCGAAATAAAGTCACTGTTTGGTCTCATAGGGCTGTCCCCTCTCCACATAAGAAGTCCATCCTTCACGGTTGTCTTAAATCTCATGAAGATGTTTGTACGAGATCCAGAAACTCTGGGGACAAAAATAAATTATATTTACTGCGTGCAAAGTACACATGGATTAGGTTTTTCTTTGCCTTAGCTTATACAGACAAGGCCAGCATTTACAACACATTTAGGGAACATCAATTTTTCATGATAAATGTCCTTCAGCTCCAGCCCAAGTCAGGGCTGGATTTACATCTCAGGAGCCTATAGGCCCCCCCCTCCTCCCATTCAAAAAAATAGACAGTAAGACTGCCTTTTTTTTCTTGATAAAATATTTTTATATACATATTTTTCTATGTGTAAAGATGAACACTGTAGACTATGATGTACAGGGGATCTCTGCTGTAAGGTGGTCTATAGTCACCACAGCAAACATCCTCTCCCCCCCCCCCCCCCCCTTACATCACAGTCAGCAGCATTCCTCTTTACATTAGGGTCCACAGTGTTCTCTCTTACACCAGAGTTCCCCTTTAAATCAGGGTCCACATAGGTCCCCTTGCACTGTGGGCGGGTGATATTGCATTGTGTACACAGTGACCTGTTCAGTGTGGTCCACCCTCCCCCCTCCCCCCTCTTCTATGTGCAAGACAGCTGTGCAGAGACACCTCCACTTTGATCACTGATGGGGACTCACTGCCTGTGCCCTCTCCGCTCTGCCTAGAGAGAGCCTGACTGTCCCTGGCCCGGACTATTCTGCTCACTTCCCTTCCCCAGTACCTACTGGAGAGGGGATGGTCCCTTCACTGTCTCTGCAGCCGAACTGAGCCTTTCACACCTGTACCTCCAAGGCAACCACACCCCCTTCCGAGTCCGATCCAATCACTGCAACTCTTTATTCACTTATAGAGCCACTTGATCAGCTGCTGGGGACCAGGAGCCGGAGGAGGTAGGGGAAGTGATCTGTGTGCTGTAAGTGATGCCTATTACTCGCTCTGCCCAGCAACATGTTTTGGCGCCATCTGCACCAAGTTCACTACAAGCAGCTCAGCTGCAAGTGACAGACCTTTATTTTCGGGACTCCTTGGGACAGCTGTAAAAAAAAAAAAAAAACTCAAACAGATGGGTGGCCATCTAGGAAGGGCACCTATAGGCTCATGCCTACAGTGCCTATTGGGAAATCTGGCCCTGGCCCAAGTGATCCTGAAGGTTACTAAGCGGAGCTCTATACAAACCAAGTATACCTAATCTAAACACTTAAAAATATCTTGCTGCACATGTTCCTTCGTTGTCAAAACATTTCGGGCTCATGAAAATGGGTGCAGAGGCGTGCAGCATGCAAAAACTGTATTTTTTCATGCACCCTAAGCAACGTGGAGTTGCGTGCAGGGATGGGTGTGCAGCCCTATGCAGACAGTGTGCATTTGGGGCTGCGCACCCCTACCTGTATGCCTGTCAACTGTGCATATGCGGCTGAGTCCGTAGAGCCACTGTTTCTTCATCTCCTGCATGCAGCTCCTTGGTGCTCCAGGCACATAGAAAACATAGCACTTGTACACAGGGGCCTTGGCGCTCATGTGAATGAGCCCTTACAGTATATTGTAATCCTAAATCACAGGACTAAAAGTGATGAATAATCCCAAATTTTGAGAAGTTTCACAAATGAAAATTTTGGCGAACTCTTTCCATGGATATACTTGTTCCAATGATAACTGAATAAGAAATAATTTTCTTAACTTTGAAGAGATTTCCTGTTGTTAGATATAATTCTAGTTTTCTGTTTTTCGTTAATTCATACCAGCACCTTTCAGAGGGTGACAACTCTTACTATGTTCAGCTTTGGTGCTGTCACCCAAAATTGGATTACAAGCACTGCTGTAGTCATTGCAGTAAAATTGTGATGCTGAAGTGCACACACAATAACAGGACATTTACAAAAGAACTTTAGAATGTGCACAACACAGAGAGGAAAAAAGAACAAAGTAAGGAAAAAAGGTTTTTAAGCTAAAAAAAAAAATGTCATATAGTGCTGTAGAAAGCTACAAAAAAGTATTCTAATGTGAGAATTTGGTTCTAATTTTTAAGGCCTCAAGTGAGGTCATGCCCCAAAGGATGCTGGGTAATATCAGTTCTAACTTTGCTCATCGGTAAAGAAAATAGGGAATAGTTCGGCTCCAACATTGTAACTTGTTAACCTGCATTGTATTCCGGACTTTATTTGAGGTCCAGAAAACCATAATATAATGATATTTAAATTATCAGTACTGTGCATCTTCATATTTTATTTAATTTATTTATAAACAATATAGGGTCTGAGATTAAAAATCCAATTTCAGTCTTTGCAGATGACACCAAGCTGTGCAGTGGAATAACGTCCTTACAGGATGTCTCCAATTTACAAGCCGACCTCAATGCTCTGTGTAATTGGGCAACTATGTGGCAACTGAGGTTTAACCTCCCTGGCGGTCTGATTATTTCAGATTTTTGGTGCTGAAAGCGGTACCATTATTTTGCATGGAAATAAGTAGTTTTTTTATTGTAGGCTGTAATTTTTAGGAATAACTCACTGAAATCTGTCCAAACAAGAGTCTATTAAACAACCCGGGTATGATAAAATTTGAAACACGAAATCATAAATTATAATTTAATAAATAATCATAAAAAATAATATTATAATAATAATAAATTTTATTCAATAATATAATCAAACCGAAAACACTGAAATTTGAAATATAGCGCCAAGTTCGCACATCACTGAGCAATGTCGCAAAATCGTTTTCAGTGTCTGATGACGAATTTCCCCACAAATCATTATCACTGAATTCTGCAAGTGGTTCTAATTTACTATCGCTGCTCTCTAGCTGATCTAAACCCGCTTTTGACCTAAAGGGACACTTTTTGGACACCATGGACGTTTCTCAGTTTCCAGGCAGAAAGAACAGACAAAACGCAGGTAGGGCACAGGACAAAGCACTCGGGACAAAATGTATGTGAAATGGTTTGAAACAGCAATGTTTTACTATGAAAAATGTGTTTTGAAAAAAATTTAATTTTTTTACATTTTCAAATTTCCCGCCCGCCGCCGCGGCCGGCGGTGCCTGTACGTCCCGACATCACAGGGACCGGAACACAGAAGCCAGATGCCGGCATCGGCCGGAGGAGATTGCTGGGGACGCTGCAGGGGACACATCGCGGGAGCGCAGGACAAGGTAAGCGCTGCAGGGACTCCCTATGCAGCGCCGCATGGTAAGCCCGAGTGTAGCTCGGGGTTACCGCTTTTGGCACTGACATTTTACCCCAAGCTACACTCAGGAATACCGCTAGGGAGGTTAATGTTGATAAATGTAAGGTTCTGCACTTGGGGGCTAAGAATATGCATGCATCATACATACTAGGGGAGGTACAACTGGGGGAATCAATGGTGGAGAAGGATTTGGGAGTTCTGGTAGATCACAAGCTTAATAATGGCATGCAATGCCAAGCTGCGGTTTCTAAAGCGAGCAAAATCCTCTCTTGTATTAAAAGAGGTATAGACTCCAGAGAGAGAGATATCATATTACCCCGGTACAGATCATTAGTAAAACCTCATCTGGAATATACAGTTCAGTTTTGGGCACCAATTCACAAAAAGAACATTGGGGAACTGGAGAAAGTACAGAGAAGGGCAACTAAATTGATACAAGACATGGAGGAGCTCAGCTATGAGGAAAGATTAGAGGAACTGAATTTATTCTCTCTTGAGAAGAGGAGATTAAGGGGGGATATGATCTCCATGTATAATACATAAGGGGGGATATGATCTCCATGTATAAATACATCAGTGGTTCATATAGTGAACTCAGTGTACAGTTATTCACCCTGAGGTCATCACAGAGGACAAGGGGGCACTCTTTATGTCTGGAGGAAAAGAAATTTAATCTCCACAGAAAGGTTTCTTCACAGTGAGAGCTGTGAAAATGTGGAATAGACTCCCTCAAGAGTTGGTTCTGGCCAGCTCAGTGGATTGCTTTAAAAAAGTCCTGGATTCTTTCCTAGATACACAGAATATAACTGGATACTAACATTTATAGGTAAAGTTGATCCAGGGGATATCTGATTGCTTCTCGGGGAATCAGGAAGGAATTATTTTCCCTGCAAGTGCAAATTGGATCATGCTTTGCTGAGTTCTTTTGCCTTCCTCTGGATCAACTGTGGGTGTAGGATTATAACTATTTTTTTTTTTAATGTTTGAACTGGATAGACTTTTGTCTTTTTTCAGCCAGACTAACTATATATATATATATATATATATATATATATATATATATATATATATACACACACACATTTAGTCATACCCAACTCTCTGTACCATGTCTATGCTAGAATTTTCTTGGTGAATCTTTAACAAAGGAAGTGGTCAGGTCTTTCCTTAATCCTCCCTTATTGCTCAGGCATGGGGCCAGTACGTAAAATGTGATAACAGGTGCATAGCCAATTTATACATACTAGGGCCAATTTAAATAGAAGTCAAGTAACCTACTAGCATGCCTTTTGCGTTTGAGAGGAAATCCAGGATAGCATGGTCCTGGCTGAGATCCAAACTAAGGACCTGAGTAGTACAAGGCACTGTAAGCCAATGTGCTGCCCATGGATCTTCATAGTCAATACCATATCAAGATACTAGGAAACCCAGACAGGAATAAAATTGAAAGCAGCAAGGGATCTACCCAAATACTTGACCATATAGCAGCACTTACCTTTTTAGAATCTCACGGTTGTCATATATAAGATAGCTACGTCCAATAAACTGCGGGATTTCAATGGCTTCTGTAATAACTAAGAAGAACAATTATGATTTCTATTTTATCTGCCCCGGGTCATTGTGGTTCCTAAGTGTGTGTGTGTGATGCAGTAATACATACTCTATAAAAGGTCACTAGTGAAATCTGTGCATTATAGGAGCCAATTAAGGATGAGTGAAATCAAGAATTCTTATTCCCTCAAAATTTTTGTAAAAATGTGTTGAGGTGACAATTTAAAAGAATGGCACCTCAATGCAAGACAGTTTGTTGTGGCAACGGGTTGAAATGTGCTTTTCTCTGCAACTACTATATTTGAAGACTCAAAGTTGCATTCTAGGCAAAATATTTTTATATGATTTCAATTTCATATATGCAAATTGATTTCCCAGCCAAACTATCCAGGCGTGTGGTCCAGACATCTCCACCAAACAACACATTCTGAAGACTACACTGCAGCTAAATTGCATGTACAGCCAAATCTTTTTTTTAGTTTTGGATAGGATAGTGAAAGATTAGAACCCGTGTCTTTTTATTGTTGTTTGGTTTCCCTCTTGGTAAATTTGCCTTCTCTTTCTGTCCCATTGTTAATAGGACACAAAGTAATTGGAAATCCAAAAGTTTACAGTTGCCATCTAAACAAGGATAAGGGTAATCTTCCAATGCGGGTGCCTGTTTCAGTGCCAACTGTCTAAGAGGGGATTTCTTATCACTTTGGAGAGATTTCCTCTCACTTCCTGTTGAGTCCCTAGGACAGAACGTGAAGGTAGATCTTTCTAATGGGACGCAAACAGCAAAAAATTAAGTGTGAGGGGTTTTAACCCTTTTCTACTCCACCCTAAACTGAAAAGAAAGTTTGGCTATAAATACACTTTAATTGTGCCTATGGTTAGAAAACATTGTATTACTATGTAAATAAAATATGTATTTTGAAAATACACAAATAGCCAATTCCAGTCTGGACACTTTTACCCCCTTACTGTCCAGGCCAATTTTCAGCTTTCAGTGCTATCACACTTTGAATGACAATTGCACGGTCATGCAACACTGTACCCATATGAATTTTTTAGCATTTTTTTGAGACAGATAAAGCTTTATTTTGGTGGTATTTATTCACCACTGGAATTTTTATTTTTTTTGCTATGTAAATGAAAAAGTCCAAAATTTTTTTTAAAAAAAGCGTTCTTATAAAATTTTGCAAATAAATAATATTTCATCATAAATCTTGGCCAAAATTTATTCCGTTATCTTTTTAGTAAAAAAAAACCCAAATTAGTTTATAACCAAAAATTATAATTTTTAAACATTTTTTTTTAATTTTTATTTTATTTTTTTATATTATTATTTGTTTTTTTTTTTTTTTACATACTGTCACCCTAGCAGTACAGTGTCACCATGGTGACACTGTACTACTTGTGGGGGGGCGATGAAGATTTTTTTTTTTTTACACTAATTGCTTTTACACCCATAAAGGCTGTAAAAGCAATAATTTCTCCTTCTCTCTGGCTGCATTCTTGCAGCCATTGAGAACTACTGTGTGAGCTGTGATTGGTCACAGCTTGTCACATGGTACAAGGCTGTTGTGAATAGCCTTGTACCATGTGACCTCTGTGATCATTCACAGATTTCACACGTAGTAAGCAATGATGTCAGAAGTGACATCTTGCTTACCACTCTGCATGTGATCACTGATTGGCCAATTAGTGATCACATGATCGGGACCTCGCACCGACGAGCGGTGTTCCACTGTGTCCGGAGGACACATCGGGCACCGGATCACAGTGCTGCGCGTTCCCAGGGAGCGCACACAAGCAGGAGGCGGGGAGGCCTTTTATAAACAGCCACCCGACCCTGCACTGCCACCGTCCGGCCGTTTATATACAACAGCCGGACGGGAGGTGGTTAATACAGGGTAACCACTGACATAGGTTGAGAGCATAGAGAGCATGTGCATAGAGAGAGCACAGCAGAAGCTGTTTATCTTCAGACTCGCTCACGTTAAATAAAAGATTGTCTGAACAGAAGAGCAGGGGGTATAAAGCAGGCCATAGATTATGTGATCTTATTTCCTTCTCCCATGGGTGGATGGAAAGAAAATCGCTTGATTCCCCCATCAACACATTCAGTGTTGATGGGGGAATTCCTCCCACAGCAGTACTGTGTTCTGCCAGCAGGGAGCCTTCCAAACAGCTAGCAGCTAGAGCCACCAGTGGAAATCACGTGAAAAAAAATCAGACAGGCTGGTTGTACCCAATCCGATTGATGGAAGGAGCGAATCTCGGCTGTCCCAGCTGAACTGGCCAAGATCGATCCATGTAAGGCTGCTTTACTGACTCCAGCTCTTGTGGGCATAAGTTTCAGCTGAGCTACTAAGCAAACAAAGAACTTTTTTCAACAAAGGGACTAAGGGAATCCCTCAAAACACAAGCTCCACCAGCCGGTTGCACATGCAAATACAAAACAAATTTGCAATCTTTCACATGTAGCTAAGAAAAAGGAAAAAATATTTGCATAAAATGCATTTTTAGTCCTGGCCATAATAAAACAATAAATATAAATCCACAACACTCTACTTTTAAATGTCACTAGTTATAAATACAGTCATACAACTTTTTATTGTTTTATATAGCTATGAATTGTCTCAATCACCTCAATTTGTTATTTTCCTTTTCTCCTTTTCAACTCAGTCAGCTAAATCTCTTTTGTTTGTTTTGGATAGAGTTGAGAATGGTGAGAACCTTTGTTCAGTGCTCCTAGCAGTCTGTGTTTACAATGTAACAGGGATGCGATTTGAAATATGTCCAATATGGACACAGATGGCAACAAATACAATATTTTAGTACAGTAATGAAGAGTTAGGACACCTCTGTGAGGTTTTTTTTTATTTAGTGAGGAACTAAGTGCCTTTTCTTTACATGCAAAAAAGTGATATATTCTGCCTTACACAAACAGTGTATCTTCTATGCAATAAAATATAAATAATTACTCAACCATTTAATGTGCCAACAAAATAAAAATAATACAAAAAATGTTAGCTGCCCCTTGGAGTGAAAAAATCACTCGTGACCATGTAATAAAATAAGGTATGGTGCTAAATATACATAATAGGTGAACAATATTCCAACTGCGATAGAAACATAAGAAACCTAAAAGTGATATAAAATAATGAGTCCAAAGTCAAGAACAAAAACAAAAGTCCCTCAACAGGTTGTAGATCAAAAACTGTGGTGCATAATCTTCTCGTGCCAATTAAATTGCTCCATGCAGATCCTTTGTGCTCTACCACCATAAGACAATATATTGCACTTCCCAACCATCCATGACCTCTTAATTAAAAGAAGGTCTAATGCATTTTGTGTCCCCAAAGGTTTAGAACATCAGTGTATATCTTCTCAATGGTCTCCCTGTTGAGCGGTGCTAACATCTTGAGCGGAGTGTATTAGTGCAGAGGATTGGGTACCAACTAATGTGAGTGCATATTTGGTTGATTGTATTAATTTCTTTTATAAACATACTGTGAGACATTTCTCCTGGGAGACCATTGAGAAGATATACACTGATGTTCCAAACCTTTGGGGACACAAAGCGCATTAGACTTTCTTTTAATTAACAGGTCATGGATGGTTGGGGAGTGCAATATATTGTCTTATGGTGGTGGAGCACAAAGGATCTACATGGAGCAATTTATTTGGCTCCAAAAGATTATGCACCATTGTTTTTGATCTACAACCTGGTGTGGGACTTTTGTTTTTGTTCTTGATTTTGGACTCTCACTTTTAGATTTCTTATGTTTCTATCACAGTTAGAATATTGTTCATCTATTATGTATGTTTAGCACCATACCTTATTTTATTATATTTTTTTTTTTAATTGCTGTCCGTGTATTCCCAACCCTGGTATGCTGTCCGTGTATTCCCAACTTGGTGGCCCTGGTGAAAATCATCTGTTTGCAAACACAGATAGCATTAAAATCTAGAAGTTCTAACACCTCCCCACTCTATCCAAAACTAAGAAAAGAAAAAAAAATGTTTGGCCAGGGCTGGGCTTTAATGCAGGCCATAGATGGGTCGAAAATCGGCCGATTAATCGGCCGAAAATAAAATCAGCCGATTTTCGGATCGTTAGTGGGCTAATTGTTTGGCCATTTTTCGGTATTTTGGCAGATTTTTTTTTATCGGTAAAGTTGGAAAGAAATCGGACAATTTTGCCGATCGGCCGATTTTCGCGGCAATAATGGGCAAATCGGCCGATCTTTTACCGATAAAAAAATCTGCGCATGAGCAGTGACCTGCAAGAGGAAGACAAAAAGAAGGAGAAAAAGAAGAAGAGGATGAAGAAGAAGAAGAAGAGGATGAAGAAGAGGATGAAGAAGAAGAAAGAAAAGGGGAAGAGAAGAAGAGGATGAAGAAGAAGAAGAGGATGGAGAAGAAGAAGAAGAAGAGGATGAAGAAGAAGAAGAGGATGGATGAAGAAGAAGAGGATGAAGAAGAAGAGGAAGAAGAAGAGGATGAAGAAGAAGAGGAAGAAGAAGAAGAGGAAGAAGAAGAAGATGAAGAAGAAGAGGATGAAGAAGAGGAAGATGAAGAAGAGGATGAAGAAGAGGAGGAAGAAGAAGAAGAAGAGGATGAAGAAGAAGAAGAGGAAGAAGAAGACAATGAAGAAGAAGAAGAAGAAATGAAGAAGAAGATGAAGAAGAGGAGAAGATGAAGAAGAAGAAGATGAAAAATAAGAAGAAGAAGAGAGAAGAAAGAAGAGGATGATAGAAGAAGAAGAGAAGAGGATGAAGAAGAGAAGAGGATGAAGAAAGAGGATGAAGAAGAAGAGGATGAAGAAGAGGACGAAGAAGAGGAGAAGAAGAGGATGAAGAAGAGGAAGAAGAAGAGGATGAAGAAGAAGAAGAAGAGGATGAAGAAGAGGATGAAGAAGAAGAAGAAGCAGAAGAAGAAGAAGAAGAGGATGAAGAAGAAGAGGAATTCCAGTCCGGCAAAAAATGTCCCTGCAGAGAGCTCCGCTATTTCTTTGACAGTTCCTTGACATTTATAGCGGTTGCAACATTGTATCTATTTGTTTCCGAATAAAAACATCTGTATCCTAAATGGATACAAATAGATACATTGTTGCAACCGCTATAAATGTCAAGGAACTGTCAAAGAAATAGCGGAGCTCTCTGCAGGGACACTTTTTGCCGGCTGTAGACGGGATGAAAATCGGCCGATTTTTTTTAACCGTTGCTGGTAACGTTGGCCGCTTGAACAACCGATTTTTCGTTTTTTTTTTTTCAAAGAAAAATCGGCCGATTTTCGACCCGTCTATGGCCTGCATAAGATGCATAATCATGTTGATGGCTGGAATAGGTTACATCAGAGTCTGAAGTGTCAGAAGGGAGAACTGTTCCTTTGGCCCCTACCATCCAACCATTCAAATTCTACCCTTCTTCTCCTCATACTAAACCAGACACTTAGGGGTCTACTTATAAAAAACATACATAGGAATTCTCTTCTGGTCAAAGGTTCTTGAGCTATTGCTTTAGGCTAATTTCTCTTCTGGTTTAATGATCTCAAGCTATTGTTTCAGACTATATTCCCTTCTGGTTGAAATGTTCCTAGGCTAATTCTTTGGGAGATGTTCTCTTCTGGATGAAAGTTCTTATGCTATTGCTTTAGGTTATTATTGGTCAAATGTTCTTAGGCTATTGTTTTAGGCAATTTATATCTATTGGTTGAATGTTCTTAGGATATTTCTTTAGGGTATCTTCTCTTCTTAATATTATTATTACGTTATTCTTTGGTGGTACTGATGAGTTTATTCTGATGGAGGGGAAGCCTCCCTGCTGTCAGAATGCAATAGTTCCACAGAATGGATTTTCTTTTCTACCTCAATGTGTGGATGGGGGAATCGATGCATTTTCTTTCATTCAACTTGCTGATTGACCAAAAGAAAATGAATCATGTTTGCTGTTGAATGTTCCTAGGCTATTGTTTTAGGCTAGTTATGGTCAAATGTTCTCAGGCTATTGTTTTAGGCTATTTTCTCTTTTGGCTGAATGTTCTCAGGCTATTGTTTTAAGCTATTTTCTCATTTGGCTGAATGTTCTCAGGCTATTGTTTTAAGGCTATTTTCTCATTTGGCTGAATGTTCTCAGGCTATTGTTTTAAGCTATTTTCTCTTTTGGCTGAATGTTCTCATGCTATGTTTTAAGCTATTTTCTCTTTTGGCTGAGTGTTCTCATGCTATTGTTTTAAGCTGTTTTCTCTTTTGGCTGAATGTTCTCATGCTATGTTTTAGGCTATTTTCTCTTTGGCTGAATGTTCTCAGGCTATTGTTTTAGGCTATTTTCTCCTTGGCTGAATGTTCTCAGGCTATTGTTTTAGGCTATTTTCTCTTCTGGTTGAATACACTTAGGCTATTTTCTCTTCTGGTTGAATATTATCAGGCTATTCTTTTATGCTATATTCCCTTCTGATTCAAAGGTCTTAGGTTATTGTGTTAGGCTATAATCTTTTCTGGTTAAATGTTCTTTGGCTATTTCTTTTAGCTGGCAATAGATGGATCGAAATTCGGCTGGTTCAGCAGAGCAAATTTTGATCCATCTATGAGCAGGCTGGTTGTACAGACATCAATCTATCAACTGACTTTTGTACAATCAGCCTGTTGAAAAATTTTTCACTTAATGAGTGCTGCCTGCTATAGCTGGAGGTACTGATGAGTGGATACGGACGGCAGGGAAGCTTTCCCGCTGTCAGAATACAGTAACTCCGCAGGAGGGATTTCCTCATTTACCTTCAATGTGTGGAATGATTTCATTTTCTTTCGTTCAACCCGCTGGTTTACTGAAAGAAAATGAATCATGTATGGCCCGCCTTAGGATATTTTCTCTTTGGGTTGAATCTTCATAAGCTATTGTTTTAGGCTATATTTCCCTTCTCATCGAATGTTCTTAGACTATTGCTTTAGGTTATTTTCTCTTCTGGTTGAATGTTCTTAGGTTATTGTTTTACGCTACTTTTGGTCAAGGCTATTGCTTCTAGCTATCTTGGGATTGAATGTTCTTGGCTGAAAGACAATGCGAGACTGCTGATACACTTGTACAGCAATTGTTTTTTTTTTTAACAAACAGACCCCTTAAAGTGTATCTAAACCCCAAATCAAACATTTAATATATTACAGCCTTTAGATGTGGTGGCTCCATCAGATTTCTATTTTCAGACTTTTGTTAACCTTTATCTTCACCGGCTGATCCTTTAAATAACATATTCCGCCCATGTGATGCCACACTTATTCACTGCACTGTGTCCATTGAGTGAGCCATAGCTGTCACTCCTGATTTGGACCACTAACCCCTCCTAAATTCCTCATCTCCATTACATTGAGGGGGGGGGGGGGGTCAGTTTACAGAGACATAACATATTTGTGATTTTGGTTCAGCTCATAGAAATTGACAAGGATACAGCATTTCTGGCAAGATCAGATGTTTTCTATACGTTCTGAAAATGTTCTTAGCCTGAAAAAAAGAAAACTAATGCAGCTACTGCATCTAAGTACTGGTAAACTGCAATATATTAGACTTTTGATTTTGAGATTAGAAATCCTTGAAAAGCAAGTTTCTGACTAGTGGTATGGCCAACAAATACGATTCCTTCTTCAGATATTCCCCCTTCTAAGAAGCTAACGTGTTTCAATCCTGTCATTGATCATTTCTGTATTTCATTTAACAATATTATATATGAAAAAAAAACTGTTCCATTTGCAGACAATTTTCCATTGATTTTTTCAGGTTCAATTGATCAGTAATAATTTAAAGATGTGGAAAATGTATTTCATTCTGATGTATGCAATGTATGTGATATATTCCAATGACTCTTTATTGATTGTATGTCTTTATGGCATGCAGAGCAATTTATCAAACTAATATTTTAATAAGTCATAGGACACACATGTGTAGCACCATCAAATGATAAGATATCCAAATGTGATCAAAGCTCCAATGTAAAAGAACGATGCCAAATTGATGTGTATGGCCAACGTAAGATCAATATCTTTCCTGAACATCTATTAGGGCTCGTTTACACTTGTAGTGGGGTTCAGAGCTCCTCTGAAAAGTGATCAGTGGTGGGCAGTTGAAAAATAAGTGGGGGGGTGATATGTTGTCACCCTACCAGCTGCTTTAACCCTTGAAATACCGTAGCACCCTTGCCGCAACCACACGCATTACACTTGGGTTGTAGTGTGGCCCCATTCACTTGAATAGGGGTACTTCCCGCTGAGTGTCACATAGGGTATCAATTTCGCTATGGCATGTGTGCCATCCTATCCATCCTATGTTAGGTAAAGCAGTATTAAATCCAAAACCCAAAATTTTATATTTTGCAGCTTACCAATAATTAGATGTGGTGGCTGCATATGTTTTCTTTTTTTCCTCTATTTTCACCTGGTGATCTGGCCAGTAACACACCTCCTGTATTAGAGCGCCTCCACTCTGGATCAAGGAGCACAGGGGGCACCTTTGGACATCAGCATTGTCAGTCTGGGGGGAGGGAAGTGTTAGATGTACTAGCAGATTTAACTGTACTAACAAATTGTAGTCAAACTTCAGCTAATACTTTATAAGCAGCTACAGCAGTGGTCTTCAAACTGCAGCCCGAGGGCTGAATGTGGCCCTTTGTATCCCCTTATCCAGTCCTTGGGGCACTATTCCCCCCAGTGATACAAGTCACTATTCTGTCAACTGACACCAACAATGGGCACCGTTTCTCCCATTGACACCACCTATGGGGCACCATTTCTCCCATTGACACCACCTATGGGGCACCATTTCTCCCATTGACACCACCTATGGGGCACTATTTCTCCCATTGACACCACCTATGGGGCACCATTTCTCCCATTGACACCACCTATGGGGCACCCTCCCATTGACACCACCTATGGGGCACTATTTCTCCCATTGACACCACCTATGGGGCACTATTTCTCCCATTGACACCACCTATGGGGCACCATTTCTCCCATTGACACCACCTATGGGGCACCATTTCTCCAAATGATACAAACAACGATGCACTATTCCTCAACCTAATACCAAATGTGAGGTTTACTCCCGCTGGTGCCAGAAAAATTTCCACCTCCGCTGGCCACAGTCCAGCCAAAATAAAGTGTAAAGGACAAAAAACCCTTTGTTTAGAAAGTTTGGAGACCCCTGAGCTACAGCTACAGTTTTTTTTTCCTGAATAAATGTTGATCATTATAGGTACCCCAGTCAGTGGTAAATGGTTTGTCTGAACCCTGTAAATGCTACATCTTCAGGAAAGCTTTTTCCTTTGAAAAACGGCAGACTTACTGGCTGGATCACCAGGTAAGAAAGAAAGAAAGAAAGAAATAAAGCCTAAAAAAAAAAACTAATGCTGCTGCCACCAAATTTAATAATCTGTAAATTGCAATATAATAAATATTTTCTTTTTGGTTTAATACTGCTTTAAGATGAGCAGCTGGAGCAGGTGGTAAAACTGCTGCTCAACTGCAAATTTTTACTGCTCCCCCAGGCACAAGTGTAAACGCAGTCTTAGGAATTCCCTTAGTGGGCTAATTCTATATTCTGCAACCTATAACAGAGGCTAGAACAGTACTTACTATTAATGCAGTAATTTCCACATTCTGCAACAAGTCCGCACAAAAACAAAAATCGACACAGAGAAATAAGAACTGATCCTGAGTCATAGTCACTGAACATGTTTTATATCGATCGATTCAACTACCTTCATCAAAATTATAAAAACCAAGATATCTTTATGAGAATGATGCTGTATTCCTGCACACAGCAAGGACAGTGTTTAAAGTGCAGCAACACCCAACAACCAATCAGATTTCTGATTGGTTGTTATTAATGTGCTTTGCACGACGCTCTTTGCTTTGTTTATTATAGTTTTGTGAGGTCTTGTGTGTGTAGTTCTGGGTTGATGCCTGAGAGAGGAATCGTTTCATGTATTAGACCCCATTGCAGAGAAACCTAGAGATTGTAAAGTTTGCACTACTTGGGGGACTTCCCTGTAACATGAAATGTAAATAAAATATATATTTTACCTTAGGTTCACACCTATGCGTTTCTGAAGCGTTTTGCAGAAAGGCAGTACAGTCCATTTAATATGATTTCCTATGGGACATGTTCACACCTGTGCGTTTTCACCCGGCACGTTTTTTGGAAAGGGTCAGGGATTTTTTTTTTAATGCAAAAAGTTGCGTTTTTGTTTCTATAGATGTCAATGGAAACACTGAAGAAAAGCATGTATTGCATTTGTGATGCATTTTTGCTGCATTTTAAATCTGCCTAGCAATAAGAAAAAAAAGTGTTAAAAATGCAAGTACACAACGCAAAACGCAATGCAGAAACGCCTCAAACTCAACCTGCATAGGTGTGAACCTAGCCTAAGAAAGAAACATAATCTTAGGGGTGTACTTCTAAAAAATGTGCAGCGCTGTTCATCCCGTGAAACTGTACATTTGTTCTGCAGGCAGACCTGCTCTCCAGGTTGAATATGTGAGTCAGGAAAATTCTACATTCTGGCCACTAGATGGAGCTAACGATGATAGTAGATTTATGATGAGCTGCTCCATCTATTGGCCATAAATGCGGTATTTTCCTGATTCATACATTCAAGCTGGAGAGAACATAGCCTAATGACATTCGATTTTGCTCACGTTGGCACAGAATGAGTGCACATACTGTTTCACAGAAACAAACGGCTATGCAAATGATCTATAAGTACACCCCTTAGTGTGTGAGATTCTGAACAAACCCATGACTGAACTAGAAGTTTTGGGTGGACTTTTACCTTTTGCAACACAGTTCTGTGATAAGGATTAATGCATAGCAAGACAATCAGAAACCAGATTTCATCAGTCTGCATACTGTGAGCTTTTGAAATCTTGGACTGTCAACTATAGCATCATGTAGGGTGAGCTCTATAAAGACCCCTACTTCTGCTGACCAGACCACCAGAGAGATCTTGGAGCTACCTATGCAAATACTGACTTCCTGAAAGTGTAAGCACAGGCCTCCCACATGGAAGAAAATATATTTTAAAAATATTCTTCCAAAATATATTGACATATATTTGAAATGCTACAATTTTGGCCATATTCAATATATTTCAAAATATATTTCAATATATATACTGTATATATACACTGCATGTTGAAATGCATTTTTATTACAAAATATATGAAAAATATTTTTAAAAATACATTTCAAATATACTGTATGTCTTTAAAAATACAAATCTACATTTTTGAAATGCATTTACAAATATATGTAAAATGACTTTTTGATGTGTTAAAAAATATATATTTTTAAAAATATATATATTTTAAATATATCCTTCAGATTTTTTTAACATATAAAAAAGTCATTTTAACATATATTTTTATATATATTTGTAAATGCATTCCAAAAATGCAGATTTGTATTTTTAAAGACATACAGTATATTTGAAATAATTTTTAAAAATATTTTTTCATTTCATATTTTGTAATAAAATAATACAAATGCATTTCACCATGCAGTATATGTATGTGTGTATATATATATATATATATATATATATATATATATATATAATATATTGAATTTGGCCCAAAATTGTAGCATTTCAAATATATGCCAATATATTTGGGAAGAATATTTTTTAAATATGTTTCAAATATATTTTTCGTCCATATGGGCTGCCCCCGCCTACATCCCATTGTACAATATAATGGTCAATCAAGAGGCCTGGTCATTACCACATTGGGTGTGTCAATGTGTCAACTTTCGAAATGTTGTATTTACATACACTGTGCAAGCATTTTAGGCAGTTGTGAATAAATGCTGTAAAATAAGAATGCTTTCAGAAATAGAAGTGTTATTAGTTATTTTTTTTTTATCAATTAACACAACAGAAAGTAAATGAACAGAAGGGGAATCCATATCAAATCAATATTTGGTGAGACTACTACTCAAAATAGCATTGGTTCTTACACTTGCACACTTTGTACCCTTGCAGAAAGTCAGGGATTTTGTAGGATTAGTCAGGTGTATGATTAATCAGTTATACCAAGCAGGTGCTAATGATCATCAATTTCATATGTAGGTTGAAACACAGTTATTAACTGAAACAGAAACAGCTGTATAGGAGAAATACAATTGGGTGAGGAACATCCAAACTCTGCTACTAAGGTGAGGTTGTGGAAGACAGTTTCATGTCACAGGTCATATACCATGACAAGACAGCACAACAACAAGACACAAGATAGCTTGATTTAGATGTTTCTTCTGTTCACTCACTTTGCATTTTGTAAATTGAGAGATAACCAACCCAGCACTTTAAAGGAAAAGGACTTGGAGGTACTTATTGCAAAAATGAGCAAACAGTGTGGCCAGGCAGTGGGGAAAGAAAATAGAATTATAGGATGCATCACTAGAGGGGTCACCAGCAGGAGGAAGGAGGTCCTGATTCCCCTATATACAGTCATGATCTTTATATCATGTATTTCTAGAAACGTATTGGTTTTGCTCACATGTTTATTCCCTTTGTGTGTAGCAGGAGGAAGGAGGTCCACAAACCTGAAAAATTGGACAAAAGTATTGGCACCCTTTCACAACTGCGGATAAATAAGATCTTTATATGCTCCTGTAAACTCAGGGGTCACCAGTAGGGCAATATAGAAATCACACCTGAAGGAGGTCCTGATTCCTCTAACCTATTGATCTTTAGTTGTGCCACACTAGAGGGGTCAACAGAAGGGAGACGAAGTCTGAGATCCTGATTCCTCTAAAATATAACATCCAAGGTTACATCATCTAGAGAACTAGGCCTTTGTCACAGTGCAGCAGGAGGAAGGCAACCCATCACTGTATAATCCTGGTCTATATAGATTGATTATATGCACTAGATGGGGATCACCCCAAACATGTTCAGACATTCAAGCTGTCCTGCAAGGAGCATCAGTGTCCTGATTCCGTCTATATAGATCTTTAGTTATGGCACTAGACCCAGGGGACCCCACTCACACAGTACATAAAAAAGGACTACAGTTTGCCAAAATGTAGAGTCCTGCCATTCCTCTCTTATGAGACCAAGATCTTTTCGTTATCACTACCGAAAACGGAATGAGGCCTCAAAGAACAAAACACACCTACGGTAAAATATGGTGGAGGTTCAATGATGTTTTGGGGTTGTTTTGCTGCCTCTGGCACTGGGTGCCTTGACTGTGTGCAGGAGAAAGCTGGGTTTGAGATCCTGATTCCTCTATATAGATCCTTATATCACTAGAGGGGTCACCAGCAGGAGGAAGGAGGTCCTGATTCCTCAGGATATAGATCCTTATATCACTAGAAATGGGTGGCAAAGAGCAGGAGGAAGGAGATCCCAGATTCCCATCTATATCTTAGCTGTTGGGAAAAGGTCCTTAATATCACTAGTTTGGGGAGTGGTCACCAGCAGGAGGAAGGAGGTCCTGATTTCATTCCTCTATATAGGGTCCCAAATATCACTAGAGGGGTGCCAATACTTTTGTCCAGCCCATTTTTGGGGTTTTGTGTGACATTATGTCACCAGCAAAGGAGTGAAGGAGGTACCTTTTTTGTGTGAAATACTTTTTCCCTATATAACAATTTCGATTTAGATTTTATATCACTAGAGGGGTCACCAGCAGGAGGAATGAGGTCCTGATTCCTCTATATAGATCTTTATATCACTAGAGGGGTCACCAGTAGGAGGAATGAGGTCCTGTTTCCCCTCTATATAGATCTTTATATCACTAGAGGGGTCACCAGCAGGAGGAAGGAGGTCCTGATTCCTCTATATAGATCTTTATATCACTAGAGGGGTCACCAGTAGGAGGAAGGAGGTCCTGATTCCTCTATATAGATCTTTAGTTATCACTAGAGGGGTCACCAGCAGGAGGAAGGAGGTCCTGATTCATCTATATAGATCTTTATTATCACTAGAGGGGTCACCAGCAGGAGGAAGGAGGTCCTGATTCCTCTATATAGATCTTATATCACTAGAGGGGTCACCAGCAGGAGGAAGGAGGTCCTGATTCCCCTATATAGATCTTTATATCACTAGATGGGTCACCAGCAGGAGGAATGAGGTCCTGTTTCCCCTATATAGATCTTTATATCACTAGAGGGGTCACCAGCAGGAGGAAGGAGGTCCTGATTCCTCTATATAGATCTTTATCACTAGAGGGGTCACCAGCAGGAGGAAGGAGGTCCTGATTCCTCCTATATAGATCTTTATATCACTAGAGGGGTCACCAGCAGGAGGAAGAGGTCCTGATTCCCCTATATAGATCTTTATATCACTAGAGGGGTCACCAGCAGGAGGAAGGAGGTCCTGATTCCTCTATATAGATCTTTATCACTAGAGGGGTCACCAGCAGGAGGAAGGAGGTCCTGATTCCTCTATATAGATCTTTATATCACTAGAGGGGTCACCAGCAGGAGGTAGGAGGTCCTGATTCCTCTATATAGATCTTTATATCACTAGAGGGGTCACCAGCAGGAGGTAGGAGGTCCTGATTCCTCTATATAGATCTTTATATCACTAGAGGGGTCACCAGCAGGAGGTAGGAGGTCCTGATTCCTCTATATAGATCTTTAGTTGGAATACTGTGTCCAGTTCTGGAGATCTCACTTACAAAAAGATATTGATAAGATAGAACAAGACGGGTAACAAAAATGGTGAACGGTCTGGGGGATAAAACATATCAGGAGAGACTTCAGGAAGCTAACATGTATAGTCTGGAGGAAAGAAGGGAAATGGGAGACATGACTGAAACCTTTATATACATCAAGGGGGTGAATAAGGTTCAGGAGGGCAGGATTTTTAACATGAAACCAAAATCAAGAACACAGGGACATGACCTCAAACTAACTGGAGGAAAGTTCAAAAACTAATCTCAGAAAGTACTATTTTACTGAAAGAGTAGTTGATGCTTGGAATAAATGTCCAGCAGAGGTAGTGAGCCAGTCAACAGAAAATAGCGTCAGCCCAGGTTCACACTGATGCGGTGCGGCACATTGCATGTGATTTGCACAGAACCGCACCACATTCCTGTGCAAATTACATGCGATTTGTGTGCAGTGCGATTTGAGCCATACATTCTCTATGGGTCAAATCGCATCTCATCCACACCAAAAAAATGCAGGACCCTTTTTCAGTCCGTACCAGAATCAGATTGAATGAGTGGGATCCGATTCTGCACATCACACTGTGTTTTGCAAACTGATTTCGGTGTGTTGTTAACCTAAAATACACACCCACAGTGGTTTGTATGAACTGGGTGCGATTATGATGTGGTGCTGAAATCGCACAGAAACCAGTGCGAATTCCGCATCGCATCAGTGTGAACCCAGGCTAAACCATGCTTGAAACAAGCATAGATCTATACAAGAAAGTAAAAAAAAAAAAAAAAGCAAAACAAATAAAACAGCAAAAGCAAAAAAAAAAAAACTAACAAAAAACAGACACCTCCCCCCCCAAAAAACAAAAACAACAACAACACACACACACACACACTTTACAGCATTTCTTCACACCTGCCTAAAACTTTTCAGGGCAACACAGAGGAGGTATGTATATGACAATGGCAGCAACAATGTATCTGCACTGTAATCTGTTCTACGCATGTGTTAGTTTCCGGCAGGTTTTATATGTTGAAGTAGCAGAATATTTAGCAGAGACATCCAGTAAATTCAGTCGGATTATTTATTAAACAATGTCTCTGGAATTATTGTAGGCAGAAGAGATATAAGAAGTTAAAGATGAATTATAGCAGCTCAGCCTACAGCAACTACTCTTCAATGTCTTCCTTCCCAACTGCAGGGAGATGCTGCCATCTAGTGGTATGTTCCAATGACAGCAAGCATCATCTGCAGTATGCTTCATCTATCATTGGTGTCATGTATCAGAAACAGCAATAATTTATGTATTGCTAACAACAAGCAGAGGTAATAAATCAGTACATGGATAAAGCATTACAAGTGACAGGTCATCTCCCCACTTGTGGAAAATACTGAGGATATTTTTTTTTACCTTTTTGACAATTCTTCCCATCGAATCCCAGCGGACAGTCACATTCATAGCTGTCATGTTTGGGTCTACAGCTCCCACCGTTGGCACAAGGTGCATCAGCACAGGGATGGGCGGCGTTGATCAGATTTACCCCAGAAAACAGGCCAGCCACCAGATTCATGATCCTGTCATTCAGTATAAGCTGCGTGCATAAAATAAACAGATTTAATGACTTTAGCCATATGCCCACCAGAAGATTTACCCCTTTCGTGACCAGGTCATTTTTTTACTATTCAGCGCTGCGCTACTTTAACACTGTATGCAACACTGTACACAAATGACATTTATATCATTTTTTTCACACAAATAGAGCTTTCATTTGGTGGTATTTGATCACTTTTTTTTTCGTTAGCAATATAAATGAAAATGGACAAAATTTTAATTAAAAAACAATATGTTTTAGTTTTTGCTTTAAAGCATTATCCAATAAAAAATGTAGCATCTACAAACTATGATATATATACTGGAATTTAAAATTATTATTTTTTTTTACATTAGTAATGGCGGTGATCAGTGACTTATAGTGGGACTGCGACAGTACAGCGGGCATTATGACACTAGGTGGGAACTAACTGCCACTGACATCCCCAGTGACACCTGAGTGACCCCGCCCTAGGTGACATCATTGATGTCACCTGGTGTGGGGTCACATGCGTGATGTCCCTGGGTGGCCCTGCCCCTTACATATTTAAGAATTGACAAGCCAGCTCAGAGGCAGAGGGCTGGCAGCCATCGTCGGGAACAGAACTTTATTTATTTATATTTGGGGGGGAGGTGGCTGCGGCGGACATCATGATTGATGTTGGATCTACTGTGGGGGACATTCTGTTAGTTTTTTCTTTTAGTAAAGGACTTGTCAAAGACCGTGTCTTGTCTTTTTTCACACTACACTTTTTGTTTTTTATTAATTCAGAACCCCACAATCACTGGCCAGGGTTGTGGGGAAGAGGCCCTTGTCCACCCCTGTTGAGGGCATGTGGCCTGGTATGGTTCAGGAGGGGGGGCGCTCGTTAGGTCCCCCCCCCCCTTTCCTGACCTGCTGGGCTGCATGCTTGGACAAGGATCTCATATGGATTTTGAGGGGGGGACCCCACGCCATTTTTTTTTTAAATTTTGGTGTAGGTGTTCCCCTCAAAATTCATACAAGACCCAAAGGGCTTGGTATGGATTGGAGGGGGACCCCACACCGTTTTTTTTATTTATTATGGTGCCGGTTTTTAAATATAATTACTGCTTTTTTTTTTTTTACTCACTACAGCTCAGAAATTCAGCTGTCGCTTTCCCCCCAGCTAAAACAGAGAAAGTTTTCATTCAGTTTATTTCCCAAAGTTAAAAGAAACAAAGTGTCCTTTAACTCCGGGGAAAGTGACAGCTAATCCTGTGAGCTATAGTGAAGAAAAATAAAAAGCCAGCAATTGCATTTAAAAATCAGCACTGACATACCCTTTGAATTGTGAAAAAAAATTGTAAAAATTTTGTAAACCAAGGCATTATTTTCAATGGATTTTCATTCGTAAACCGAAAATTACGGTAACCGAGGCATTCGTAATCCAAGGTACCACTGTATTTCTAAATCCACAGCTCTGATCTGTCAATCCCTGGATACCTATAAATCCATTTGAGATTTCTTTGTATAACAGAAATGCTCTGCACAGAGATGTATCCGTGAACAGGAATTGTACAGCCCAAAGGGTCCCCTGTGCACTCACTTTCTGAATGCTGCCACTGAATGGTCGCAGGACTCCGGAGTTCTTCTTCACGGTGTCATAATCAGGAACTCCACCAATGTAGATGTCGGGGTTACATTTTATCTGAGTAAATCCCCCCTGGAAGATACAGGTATATTTGTTATTAACAGCTCACAACATTTTACTGTATGTTTCCAAATAATTATACAAAGTTTTTATTTGGTTGATTACAGGCTGTATCAAAAGTAATGCAAAAGTGGGCATAACTTTTTTTTTTATTTAGGTTGTTCGAATTTTACATGTTGATAGAGTAACTTTTCCTCAATAGTAAATCTTCTTCTTCTTTTCCATTACAGATAAATAATGGGTACCAAGCAGAAACAACTTGCTCTTAATGGATTTCTTGATGAAGGACATCCGACATCCCCAGAAAGCTACAGAATGTTTACAGAGATGACACTACAGACAGGAGCAATGTTTTTTCCTCGGTGATTCTTGTCAATGGTGTCATCTCATCAAACATTCTGTAGCCTTCTGCGAATATTGGACAGCCTGCATCCCTTCTTCATCAAGATCTCAATGATGACAAGTTGCTACTGCTCTGAATCCATTATTTACCTGAAACGAAAAAGGAGGGAGAAGCAGTAATATAGAGGAAGAGTTACTCTACCAACATGTGAAATTTGAACAACCTATGTAAGTTAATAAAGATAAGTCATGCCAACTTTTGCATTCCTTTCAGTACACCTCTCATATAAAGCACCAACATTTTACATATCACTTTACAAGATATTTAATAGTCATTCACATCATTTATAGGTAAAGTTGATCCGGGGAATATCCGATTGCCTCTCAGGGGATCAGGAAGGAATTTTTCCCCTGCAGGAGCAAATTGGATCATGCTTTCCTGTTTTTTTTTTGCCTTCCTCTGGATCAACTGTGGATGTAGGAATATAACTTTTTTTTTTTAATGGTTGAACTGGATGGACTTTTGTCTTTTTTCAACCAGACTAACTATGTAACATCAATCTCTGCCCTTTATATTCTCTAGCTCACATGAATATATATATATACAGTACATATATATTTTTTTTATACATACATACACCAGGGTCACTTTTCAGGCAGCTTTCATTTAAAGGTTCTGCATGTGTCCTGGACAGGATTTGAACTGAGGACCCCAGTGCTGCAAGGCAGAAGTGCTAACTACCTAAGCCTTGAAGTTTATTAGCTAAATAAATTTAATAATAAATGCCAAAGACATGCTGGTAGGTTAATTGGCTCCTGTCTAAATTGTCCCTAGTATGTGTATGTATGGATGTGAGTTAGGACCTTAGATTGTACACCCCTTTGAGGGTTAGGGACTGATGTGAATGTATAATATATATGTATAAAGTGCTGTGTAAATTGATGGCGCTATATAAGTACCTTTAATAATATATACATTTATATATATTTACTGTGGACCATTTTGACCACAAGCAGCTTGTTCAGAAGCCAGTTAAAGTATTCTTTTTTTAATTAAGTGAGGAAGCTGGAGATACAAACACACAAAAAGCAGAAGAGAATCTACATGCACATACTGTAATATGTCTGCCGGTTATTGGATCAGAACCCATCACTGCAATGCTATAGTTATAAATGTTTGTGCCACAAAGGCTTTTACAGTATTGCCTTCTTATGCCATTGCAATTGATTTAAAATATAGGTAAAGCCACAACTTTTTACAATTTGGAAAGAAACCCCTGACAGCTTTTTTTTTAACCTGTTCCTCATTGGGGAGATTTTGCTTAAGAAAAGTGACAGACAGTTGTCACCATAACATGTACCATTTGAAAGATTTCCCTTTTTTACTGTTCAGTTAACAATTTTTGGATTTTTTCTTTCATTTCTGTTCTGGTATTAATGGTCACCAGGACAAATAAATAGAGTGAATCTCCTTATTGGAGACAAAGACAGTGAAAAAAAAAAAGGTTTTAATTTCCCAACACTCCAACCCAACCTAAAAATGTTAAAGTCAACCACAAAACTGCTTTGAACTCCCTAAATCTGTTTCACCCCAGAATGGCAGGGTCGTGGGTAAGGGGGTACCACCAATCCTCCAGTATAGGGCCCAGGCTAGCAGGGGGGCCCAGGCAGCTGGGTGAAATGTCTGTGGGCAGGGAAGGTGATCAGCATGGCCCCCGTGGCAGTTACTGAAACTGATCCACTGTATGGTTCTCTTCTCTGCAGCTGAAATTCGACTTCTTCTCCTCTCCTTCATGCTGGCTTTCAGCTGCTGCAGAGAGAGCCATACAGGGGATCGGTTCCAGTAATTTTCCCCACACCCTTCCCTGTGTACCATATGTTTCCCCCTGCTGTCCAGGCCCCCCTGTGTGCTACCACCACCCTGTCTGTCCCCATTGCTGCCAGCTCCCCTCCTCTCCTTCCCACTGGCAGCTGCAAGCACAAAATAGGATCCTTCAGAATAGAAAGGGGTGAGAGGGTCCAGTAAATAGTCACATTTACCAGCCCTTTCCTTTCCTATCACTCGCTGTATTCATTCATAAAGCATAGTAAACTGTGGGTTTTTTTTTTGGGGGGGGGGGGGGGCCTGTCAGGTTGGCTGTATGGGACCCCATGGTTTCTAACAACAGCCCTGTAGATTGGGAGGAATTCTGAGTAAGGCTCACCAACCTCTGTACATTAAATTACACCCCAGCAATCTTTATTATTGATGTGTCTATTGAAATCACATTAGCTGTGATGAGACTTTTGGTACAAACCTCAGACTTCCCCTCTACTTGTTTCTGGCTGTCGACTTGTAATAAGCCATTCTTAGCTGTTCGAGAGACTCGTAGTTCATGCCACTGGCCCAGGCTTACTGGCTTCTCGCTCCTTAATTGAAAAAAAATGGCAAAAAAACATATAAAACAAGAGAAAATATGTCAAAACTCCTTTGCGAGTATTAACAAAATGGCAATATAGCTCCCAAAATATTAAACTTTCACAGGATTGTTCTTTTTCTGAGCCAGAAACACACCAGTCAATGATAATAACCAATATGAAAGCCCCATATATAGTATAACTACAAACTTAAACAAATGACTGCTGTTCTACGGTACACTAACAGCAATTAGGGTGTGGGTCAATGGATAGGACCAGGGGCGGACTGACCATTGGAGAACTCGGCACTGGCCAAGGGCCCGGGGTCAGTAGGGGGCCCCATGAGATGTCCCTGGTACCTTTCATAGGCTTTTTTTTGCGTGTGGGTTGAGTGTGGGCAAGGACACAGGGGCCTTATGATCCCCTATTGCCCGGGGGCCCCATGAGTTGTCAGTCTGCCCCTGGATAGGACAGTCTAAAACAGACACCCAAGCAGCTTCACCGACAACCATATATTAGAAGCTTTATAGGCAAGCATAATAGCTAATTAAGGAAATCACTATTAAGGTTCATTTTTTTAATTTTACTAATTTACTTTCATAAGCAATATGTATTTACAGTGCCTTGAAAAAGTATTCATACCCCTTGAAATTTTCCACATTCTGTCATGTTATAACCAAAAACGTAAATTTATTTTTTTTGGGATTTGATGTGATAGAAAGTGGCACATAATTGTGAAGTGGAAGGAAAATGATAAATTCATTTAAAAATATTTTACAAATAAATATGTGAAAAGTGTGGCGTGCATTTTTATTCAGCCCCCCTGAGTCAATACTTTGTAGAACCCCCTTTCACTGACATTACAGCTGCAAGTCTTTTTGGGGATGTCTCTACCAGCTTTGCACATCTAGAGAGGGACATTTCTGCCCATTCTTTTTTATAAAATAGCTCAAGCTCTATCAGACTGAATGGAGAGCATCTGTGAACAGCAATTTTCAAGTCTTGCTACAGATTCTCAATTAAGTTTAGTTCTGGACTTTACCTGGGCCATTCTTACATATGAATATGCTTTGATCTAAACCATTCCATTGTAGTTTTGGCTGTATGTTTAGGGTCGTTGTCCTGCTGGAAGGTGAACCTCCGCCCCGTCTCAAGTCTAAAATTGCCCTGTATTTGGCTCCATCCATCAACTCTGACCAGCTTCCCTGTCCCTGCGGGAGAAAAGCATCCCCACGTGATGCTGCCACCACCATGTTTCACGGTGGGGATGGTGTGTTCAGGGTGATGTGCAGTGTTAGTTTTCTGACACACATAGCATTTCACTTTTAGCCCAAAAAGTTCAGTTTTGGTCTCATCTGACTTGAGCACCTTCTTCCAGATATTTGCTGTGTCCCCCACATGGCTTCTCACAAACTGCAAACAGTATGTCTTATGGCTTTCTTCTTGCCACTCTTTCATAAAGGCCAGATTTGTGGAGTGCACAACTAATAGTTGTCCTGTGGACAGATTCTCCCACCTGAGCTGTGGATCTCTGCAGCTCCTCCAGAGTTACCATAGGCCTCTTGGCTGCTTCTCTGATGAATGCTTTCCTTGACTGGACTGTCAGTTTAGGTGGACAGCCATGTCTTGGTAGGTTTGCAGTTGTGCCATACTATTTCCATTTTCAGATGATGGATTGAACAGTGCTCCGTGAGATGTTCAAAGCTTGGGATATTTTTTTAATGTAACCCTGCATTAAACTACTCTACAACTTTATCTCTGACCTGTCAGGTGTGTTCCTTGGCCTTCATGATGCTCTCTGTTCACTAATGTTCTCTAACAAACCTCTGAGGGCTTCTCAGAACAGTTGTATTTTTTACACTGGGATTAAATTACACACAGGTGGACTCTATTTATTAATTAGGTGACTTCTGAAGGCAATTGGTTCCACTAGATTGTAGTTAGGGGTATCAGAGTAAAGGGGGCTGCATACAAATCCACACCACACTTTTCAGATATTTGAAAAAAAAATATTGAAAATCATTTACCGTATTTGCCGGCGTATAAGACGACTGGGCGTATAAGACGACCCCCCTACTTTTCCTGCTAAAATGTAGTGTTTGGGCTATACTCGCCGTATAAGACTACCCCTCTTCCAATGCACACCAGTGGGAGGAATAGTGCCCCATCATTGATGTCAGTGGGAGGAATAGTGCCCCATCATTGGTATCAGTGGGAGGAATAGTGCCCCATCATTGGTATCAGTGGGGGGAATAGGTGCCCCATCATTGGTATCAGTGGCAGGAATGGTGCCCCATCATTGGCATCAGTGGGAGGAATAGTGCCCCATCATTGGTATCAGTGGGGGGAATAGGTGCCCCATCATTGGTATCAGTGGCAGGAATAGTGCCCCATCATTGGTGTCAGTGGGAGGAATGGTGTCCCATCATTGGTGTCAGTGAGGGGTGGAATAGTGCCCCATCATTGGTGTCAGTGGGGGGAGGAATAGTGCCCCATCGTTGGTGTCAGTGGGGGGGGAATAGTGCCCCATCGTTGGTGTCAGTGGGGGGGAGGAATAGTGCCCCATCGTTGGTGTCAGTGGGAGGAATAGTGCCCCATCGTTGGTATCAGTGGGAGGAATAGTGCCCCATCATTGGTATCAGTGACACCAGTGATGGGGCACTATTCCTCCCACTGAGACTTGCTGACCCTGTTCTAGTATGGTGCTGCTGCAGCCAGCATATGTGGTTGCAGCAGCACCTCTACACAGAGCACTTACCTGCTGCTCCGGCACTCAATTTTCGCGGGGTCCCGCTCGGCTCCGCCCCCTCGCGCGGTGATTGGCCGCCTGTGTGCCTTTCCTGAGCTACAGTTCTGGCGGCCAATCACCAGTGAGGAGGCGGAGCCGCGCAGCCGCACGAACATCCAGTGGCCGAACTGAAGGAGACGCCGCGCTTCCTGGACACATCGTCGTGGGACTGGATCCAGGTAAGAGACGTCAGCCCCTGCAAACCCCTGTACTTAATGCCGCAGCCCCCCTAACATGTGTACCGGCGTATAAGACGACCCCCGACTTTTGAGAAGATTTTCAAGGGTCAAAAAGTCGTCTTATACGCCGGCAAATACGGTAATATTTTCCTTCTACTTCACAATTATGTGCCGCTTTGTGTTGATCTATCACAAAAAAAAAACAATAAAATACTTTACATTTTTGGTTGTAACATGAGAAAATGTGGAAAATTCCAAGGGGTATGAATAATTTTTCAAGGCACTGTACATACATTTCTTAATTCTACTTTTTAATTACTATTATCTACTGTGCAAAGGGAACATGGCATGATAAAAGGATCTTGACTAAACTGGAGCATTAAACATGGCTTCCAGTTCATCGTACTGCATTGTTGTTGTTCCATTTCCAATAATTTAGTCATTGAGTTTGCACCAGTGACTTGGATTGACTTAAGCAAGAGCAAAAATTTACCTACAGGGCTTATGTAAGGGAGTCAGTAGAAGTCTCAGTTGGGATACAGCCATTACCTCCCAGGTATTCTGCCTGGGGAGGGTGGGAAGAATCCATAGGTCCTTGGCCACCCAGGCCTCTTGCCTGGGGAGCATACAGTTTTAGAGCCAAGGCTCAAGGATTGGAAGTTGACCTATGCTGCGGAATATACAGGAAGGTGGCTACTAAAGGGAAGCACCTTCAGAAGAATTCTGCTTAGTCCATTTCCATTCAGCTTAAAAGTCCACTACTACAGTTTGCTAGCCTAGGCTTAGAGGTCTACCATTACCCTGTGGAAAGGACTAAAAATATTTCAAGGTAGCTGTCCATCTGATCTACCCAGTTCTACATTAGCCTGTGGCAAAGAAAAAGACACTACTGAGTAGAAGGATATTTACTGATGTTTTGGGACATGCTGTTTCCTCTCTCTGCCCTGGACATTGAGCCCACAAAATTTGCAATTGACAGAGTGGATGTCTTTCACCACTGGTAAGTCTTTGGGTGAAGCTACAGGCCAGACCACTGGAAGGGCCCGTAAAATCCAGCAGCTCCAAAGTGGGTCATTGCTACAATAGTATAGGCACAGCACTATATTTATTTATTTGATACATTATGCATTTTTTCATTAGAATAATACAACTTTGATCATCTGTATTACTAAGCCCTTCTCCATGAACTAAGTTATCACACTTACCTTATCACAGCTGTTCCAGATCCACAGTCAAACCTTAGTACCACATAACCATTCACCATGGTGATGGAGATAAAGTCTTTGCTATCAGTGTCATAGCTGTAGAGAATGGTCCCATCTTCCAAATCTGGCCGGAAGGTCATATCAAATTCCATGAAGGAAAGGTAATGGTGAGGTTCAAATGGCCACCTCGTCACAGCAAAGGAGCGGGTTGACTCATTAAACTGAGGAATGGCGAGGATGAAAACTTGAACACAGAAAAAAAGAGGTTTAAAGACCACCAAATCTTGATGCTCCCTGCACAGTATCATATAAAATATGCTAACACTTAGTAGGTTTAGTCCCTTCAGGACCTTGGTTTTCTATCTAATAATTTATTATTGCACCGTATTGGGATTAGAGCAAATAAAAAGTATTTCAAAATGAAAGTTTTTTTTTTTAGTTTTGGATAGAGTGGAGAGGCTTTAGAACCCTTGTCAGGCTTTTTTATTCTTTGTCATCTGTAATCCTGTTTGTCCTGGTGACCTAAGTAACTGTCACTGAAAATGATGAGAAACTGAAAATTTCAAAATCAAAAAGTGGTCCCCCCCAGAAAAATAAAGGGGTAATCTTCCAAGGGGGACACTTGTTCCAGTGATGAATGTTTAAACAATTCAATACCGGGCAATTTAACACCTTCCTGCCCAGGCCAGTTTTCAGGTTTCAGCGCTCTCACACTTTGAATGACAATTGCGCGGTCATCCAACATTGTACCCAAACTAAAATTTTATCATTTTCTTAACACAACTAGAGCTTTCTTTTGGTGGTATTTAATCACCGCTGGGGTTTTTATTTTTTGCTAAATTAACAAAAAAAGACCAAAAATTTTGAAAAAAAAACACGTTTTTCTTTGTTTCTCTTATAAAAGTTTGCAAATAAATAATTGTTCTTCATAAATTTAGGCCGAGATGTATTCTGCTACATGTCTTTGGTGAAAATAACCCATATTAGGATGTAGTTTTTAGTTTGTAGGAAAGTTATAGAGTTCACAAACTATGGTATAGATCTGAAAATTGATCAATCCTGAAGTACTGACGGCCAATCTAATTTCTTGAGGTCCAAGAATGTCAGAACAGTACAGATATCCCCCAAATGACCCCTTTTTGCAAAGTAGACAGTCTGATGTACTTCATAAGAGACATAGCGAGTTTTTTGAAGTTGTATTTTTTTTGTCATAATTTTTCGGAAAATTAAAAAATTAAAAAAATGAGTTTCACTATACATACTGTCACCAGTGCAGTACAGCGTCATCATATAACTGGCATGGCGGTGATCAGAGACACTGACTGGTGACAGTATGAAAAAAAAAAAAAATATATATATATATATATTTTTTTTTTTTATATAAAATTTTACACAATTTGCTTAAAGCAAAGAATTACTTTGCTATAAGCAAGCATTTACCTGAATGACATTGATTCATTCAGGGTTTTTTTTTGTGCTTAGCTGTGATTTGGCCATAGCTAATCACATGACGTGCATGTGATTAGCTGTGACCATTCACAGCAAGACACTAGTATACAATGGATGCAATGAATGAAGCCATCCATTGTATACAACTGTCATGTGACCTGCTGTGATTGGTCACAGCAGGTCACATGGTACCGGCAACGGGGGCCGATACTCAGATCTGTCATCGGCCGTGTCCGAGGTACATGGCTGGTGACAGATCACGCCGCTGCGCAGCTCTGCAGGAGCGCAATCTGCGCATGTGCGGGAGGACGCCATATGGCCAAACATGAAATCATAAATTATAATTTAATGAATAATCCTAAAAAATAATAATATAATAATAATAAATTTAATTCAATAATATAATCAAACCAAAAACACTTAAATTTGAAATATAGCACCAAGTTCGCATATCACTGAGCAAAGTCGCAAAATTGTTTTCAGTGCCTGATGACGAATTTCCCCGCGAATCATTATCACTCAATTCTGCAAGTAGTTCTAATTTACTATCGCTGTTCTCTAGCTGGTCTAAAACCGCTTTTGACTTAAAGGGACGCTTTTTGGATGCCATGGACGTTTCTCAGTTTCCAGGCAATAAAAACAGGCAGGGCGCAGGACAAAGCACTCGGGACAAAAATGTATGTGAAATGGTTTGATACAGTAATGTTTTACTATGTGATTTTAGTGAATGTAACTTTTTGTCATTTTCAAATTTCCCGCCGTTCCATCCCCGTACATCCCGACGCTCACAGGGGACGGAACCCAGAAGACAGATGCCGGCATCCGCCGGATTACATTGCCGGGGACACTGCAGGAGGGACATCGTGGGAGCGCAGGACAAGGTAAGTGACCGAGGGATCCCGAAGCAGCGCCACATGGTAAGCCCGAGTGTAGCTCGGGGTTACCGCTTGTGGTACTGAAATTTTACCCCGAGCTACATTCGGGAATACCACCAGGGAGGTTAAAAGAGAAATAAAGTGAATGGGTTTAAACACATCTAAGTCAGAAATACTTTTTATCTTTTTAAAAAGAAACCTAAGAAGTAATCTGCTGTGCTATAAAGTGAACCTGTACTTCATTTCACTTTGCGTTTAAACTGCCAAACCTCTAAAAACCTCTTTAAAAAGTAGGTTTTCTTCCCACCGAAGTTGTAAGGGACATTCTTTTTTGCCATGGGTGCGAAGCAAAGCATCGCAACAGCAGCATGTGAACACCCTCATCCATTGTCTATACAACTTAAGGGTCAAAAGTTGGGGGAAGCTCTAAAAACACATCTCAACCATGTGGTTTTAAGGCCCCCACTGACCGCATGTCTAAACTGCCCCTTAAAGTCCTTATTGAAAGTTGATAAACCAAAATGCCTGCTATCACCTTCATTACCAGGGACTCCACTTTAAACCAATGCTTCATTTATCAAAATATTATCAAAATGATGCTCTGTTAATTCAAAAGATTTATTTTAGAAGTAATCAGTTGTGCTTGAAACTGAACCTGTACTTTTTTTCAAATGTTTTATTTTAAAGTCCGAAATAACTAAATGAGTACACTGGGTGTGCTATGTATGCCCCAAAAACATAAGAGGGAAGTGTGGGTTTACAAAAATAACAAGCAATCATACTCACCTAGGTGAATATCGCACCAGTCTGATGCTGCATCTGTCCCCCACCACCTCTAAGACTGGGACCTGAGGGATCAAAAACCAATAATCGCTCAGGTCTCGATCTTCCAGGAGCAGAAATCCAGTGACTGTCAGTCACCAACTCTCTGCTCCGCCTCACCAGTGCTTACTAGAGTACCAGGCTGTGGAGGGGGGTGGTAGCGGCTGGCTCAATCTCCCAGGAGCGCACAGAGAGACTGTTCCAGCTGCTGGTCAGGAATCTGGGTGAATCCCAAATTATTGTCGGGATCCCTGCAGAACCTGGACCGGCTCTGTGATGTCAGCCAACAGTGGCTGAATCTGGGCCACAGGAGTGCAAATCTAAGTACACTCCTGTGGCCCACAGTAAAAGTAGGGCCAAAAGAGCCTTGGCCATACTTCTCCTTTAATCAAAGTACACAGGGCATGTGTAGCATGTCCTGTTTTTATGCACCACTGCTGCACCATACTGTCCCCCTTCCACTTGCTAGCAATTCCTGGTTCTTAAAATGAAAGCCAGGAGTTGCTGTGTCCCGTAGAGTAACTGTAATAGCAGAATTGTTTGGTGCAATAGAGAGATACAAAGTAACAAGGTCACTTTTGTTATCTGCTCTGTTTATTTATCTGTAGATCAAAGCAGTGAGCTTCAATCTGCTAATGTAACCTGACTAGTAAGAAAAAAAGTTATTTCTTCAAATGTGATTTGTCTCTATTTAACTCTTTATAAACCCTTAGAGGTTGCGCTACTAAAACAATCTTGTGCAGCTCTTCATAGAAAATGATCAGCTTCCAGATTCTTTTATCAAAGCTTCATTGAACAAGCTGAAGTTGGAAGTTGATTGGTTTCTATGCAGAGCTGCACCAGATTTTGCATTTTCCACTTTTGGTAAATCAACTCAACAGTTTACCCTAATCTGCCCTTAACTCCTTCACCCCCCTCTCCCTTTAACTGTTATTTTCCAGCCAATTATTTTTGGTTTATTTCTATTTTATTATGCATTAAAATATAAAGTTTTTCCATTTTTATTGGTTTTGTTCATTATTTTTTGTATTGCCATGTTAAAAAAGCATAAAATTAAAAAAAAAAAAAAACCCTTTAATTCATTTGTAAATAACTATGCAAAGATTTCTACCAGAATCATATTTTAGTAAATATAGAATAAATAGATAATAAAATATGTACTGTATAGATATAGAATGAATATATTCCTTTTATCTACAGTAACAATATTGTTTTAAATAAAACTGGTAAACTAAAATAAAACTGTTTGTTTAGTTTTGATTCATTGTCATTACTTTTAGGTAATGACAAATGTACTGCTGAATAAATAGATCCTTAGCAGAAACACTTGCTCTGGTCCATAGTGAGTATACAGGTGTGAGTAGTCAAGGCAGAGCTGAATCTATTGATTTAATTGTTTCTCAAAAGAAAACTCAAATTAGAAATGTTCAGCAAATGTTATTAGTTCCCTAATCAAACATAGCAATGTTGTTTTCTGCAGTATTTTAATTTTCATGCTGCCTATTAGAGCATGCACATTCTATACAACAATGAAGGCTTGGCTCTGCTGATAACTGTCACAGTTGCCAATGTGCTTATGCAGGGGCGGACTGACAACTCATGGGGCCCCCGGGCAATAGGGGATCATGGGGCCCCTGTGTCCTTGCCCAAACTCAAAAAAAGCCTATGAAAAAGGTACCAGGGGCATCTCATGGGGCCCCCTACTGACCCTGGGCCCTTGGGCAATGTCCGAGTTTCCAAATGGTCAGTCCACCCCTGTGCTTATGTCATCTCTCAGCTGAACTTACAAAATCACAAATGGCTGGTGTCATAGCTGGTCGTGTGTAGCACCATGGCAGCTAAAGAGCTAAATAGATCCAATCTTGGTGGATAGGAGGGTTTCACTTTAAGTGTAGATATCTCTAATTAGCCAAAAAGCTTCTTCTGTGCTCCTCTTTAGTTTAATTTTATTTTTATTTTTTTCTTTAATATTTCCGTAAAATTAAAGGTGAAACCTACATTTTTGCTTTTGGCAAACACTCCACCTTTGTGCTAATTTTCATTCCTGAAATAAACCCCAGCATGTTTAATGAGTAAAGTTCTTCTTTACAGTGACGTAAAAGTATTGCCAGCTCAGTCTTACCTTCCTCGCAGTGACGTCCTTGGAATCCTATAGGACAAAGGCACATATAGGAGTCAGCTGACCTTGATGTACAGATTCCTCCATTGATACAGGAAGCCTCATCACACACCCCAATACTGCAGTCACCTGCGTGTCAGGAAGGAATTAAGTTCATATATTAAGTTCATATATTAAGTTCATATGACTTCTCTGTCGAAATCAACAGCTCAACCATCAACCCGTCCCCACATGCCAAGGTGCTATGGTGTAATCCTGGACTCTGAACTATCCTTTTGGCCCTATATCCAATCACTGTCCAAAACTTGCCGCTTCAACTTCCGCAACATCCCCAAGATACTCCCCTTCCTAACCAATGGTACCACAAAGTTTCTAACTCACTCCCTAGCCATCTGCCGCCTGCAACGCCTTCCCTTTGCATAGGCTATCCCCCCTCCAGTCCATCATGAATGCTGCTACCAGACTCATCCACCATACCAACTGTTCAGTGTCTGCCACCCCTCTTTGCCTGTCCCTCCACTGGCTCCTGCTCACCCAACGAATAAATATTATAATGAATAATAAAATAAGATGCTTACAATAACTTATAAAGCCATCCACAACTCAGCCCCTAGTTACATCGCTAACCTGGTCTCAAAATACCAACCAAATTGTTCTCTTCCTCCCAAGACCTCCTGTTCTCTAGCTTCCTTGTCACCGCCTCCCATGCTTGACTCCAGGATTGACTCTCGATCAAATTGAGTGGCACCTCATCCTGGAGAGGAAGTCCAAGAGAAACAATGTTTCTCTATGGTTTCCTGGGTCAATGGAGCAGTGTTCCAGTTGGCTACGCTGCACCCATGTGACCCTCGGTGGCCATCTTGGGTCAGCAGGATCTATTTAAGTCCATGCCCCTAGGTTTTCGTGCACATCTGGCATGTGGCTAGTGTAGGGAGAGATACCTCACTTGTTAGGGAAAGTAACTAGCAGTAGAGAAAGCTTCCTGATGAGAAGAGAAAGATTAGGGACTCGCTATCCTGGAAAGGAGCATCCCTCTTGGGACCAGACTAGCCAAGCTCTGTTTCACCCTGTGAAACGGACACTGTCAGCACCTCTGCAACTCTACATCTGACTACATTAAACTGTGAGTTATTTCCCTAGCAGATGCTCTCTTGCCTGGGTGTTTGCAATGTTGGCATTGTGTTTAATACAAGTTCCACGTTTTACTGCAACTGGATTACAACACCTGTTGGGTTTTTATTGCTGTCCGTACCCCTGTTAAGGCGATTCCCGCTCTCTATTTGTCCTTTTTTCCTGAAAGTGAAAGTAAAAGAACCCACAAATTTTGGGGGTTGTCCCCAGAAAAATAATAGAGGGGAATTTTTTCAATAGGGACACTAGTTCCAATTCCAATTCCCTCAATTTGCAGAGATTTTCTCACTTCCTGTTTTTGTTATAGGACAGGAAGTAAGTGTAAATCTGCTCTGGGACACAGATGGCAATATATAAACTGACAGCAGTTATAACCCTCCCATACTCTATCCAAAATGAAAAAAAAAAAAACGTTTTGCCTATAGTTATACTTTAATGTGTGTATTGTTTAGAGTCATCTAACTGAATTACCATGGAGAAAGTCATGGATAACCTTTGTTTAGACAAAAGAAAATGGCAAAACATTCCATCTCTTTCAAAATGGATTTTTCCAAGTACACGAGTCAATTAAAAATCCTGTACAAATGATCTTTCTTACATAAAAAAAATGTTAGGCTTATAAATACCTGTTTCAGACCTCTGTCTAAACTCTAGGAGTAGCCTAAGTTTTAGTCACCCTCTAAGTAAGCAGATATATTAAAATTGTTTATTTACCAACATCAGCCCCGCTGAGTGCCTTTCCGAGTGGCCATTGTCTCATGTCAATATTTCTTCCATTTACAGACAAGGACTGGACACAGCCTTTAAATCCCCGGTTGGTCCCCGCTGATTTCACCAGCCAGTAGGAACTTGGTGCTCCACCCAGGTATAGGGGTGTGCGGAAGGTGATCTTACTGTACTGACCCTGGTGGAAAAGACACACATAGTTCAACCTTCAATAACATAAACAGATTTTCACACAATTTGTTAAATTTGAGGCATCCCCAAGCATTCTTTTTGTATTGATGATGAAAATATGATAGACCAGAGGACTGGAAGAGAGTCAGCATAGGACAGTTGGGGTGCAGTATTATGTCTTGTGTGCCATAGATGACCAACTGCTCACCTGTTTATACAGACATGTCCTAATAGAAACCAAAGTATTTTCTGCATGTAAAAGGATGGTGTGAAATGCTGATTTATTTCATAATGTATTTGAATTTTAATTTATATATTTAATAATGAGCTGCAATGATCAGCGTATAAACTAGTCAAACAAAGATATGGGGAAGAAAATTTGAAATGATGGAAAACACACTACATATCTGTTTGTGGACACCTCACCAGCACACCTAAATGAGCTTGTTGGACATCCCATTTAAAAACCATGGGAATTAACATGGACCCCCCCCATCATTTTGCAGCTATAACAGCTTTAACTTTTCTGGAATGTATCTGTTGGTAATGCCCATTCAAATGTACTGATGTTGCATGAAAAAACCTAGTATTGCAAATGGAGCTTAATATATCTCAAAAGTCTAAAAGTTTTCAATAGGATTCCGTTTAGGACTTTAGACCACTAAAATTCCTCCACATCAAATACTTCATATCATATCTTTATGAAACTGCCTTTGTACACAGGGGTATTGTCATGCTGGAACAGAAAAGGGTCTAACCCAAACAAGACTGGAAGTGCTCAGTTGTCTAAAATCTTTTTGTATGCTGTAGCATTAACAGTACCCTTCACTGGAAACACCTGAACTTATGTATGTGTGCACATATTTTTTATGTATTACATATTACATATGTACTTAGTACATAAGTATAAAATACATAAAAAAAAACATGGCTCATTAAATATATATCCCCACCAGAAACCTCCATTGGTTGTCACTGTGAAGTGTTCTTCTATGGCTTGTATCTTACCGGAGACTTTCCAGACACAGGAGCACTGTTATCAAGCTTTATCCACCCATTCAGACCTTCTCTGTAGACTGTCACAACATGCCAGGTACCTGGTTTGATTTTGCTATCACTTGTAATAATAGCAGTCCCAGTACCACAATTATAGCTGTAAAAAAAGAAAACATGTAGCGATGATAGATAGATAGATAGATAGATAGATAGATAGATAGATAGATAGATAGATAGATACTCAAGCATGTGTAGCAGGAGCTTTCTGTTGACTTTAAAGGTACTAATGGATGAGTGGTCAACTAAATTACCTTTAAAGGAGCAGCCTACAGCATCAATTAGATGCTCCAGTACTCATATTATAAGTCCAGCCAAAAGCCTGTTAAAACATGGTCCCCAAAACAGTAGGTGAGGGGAAAGCAGTCAAACGTGAAAGTAGATCTAACCCTACCCCATTCTATCCAAAGGTATTTTGGCTGGATAAAAACTTAAATTCTATCAAGAGAAACCTGAGAAATACAGAGTTGTTTACTTCTGAAAGAGCTAGCTGACTGGCTGTCTCTGGCTTCAAAACTAAAAAAATATCACCATAACCAAGCAACATACCAGGGAAATCAGCTTGAAGCTGGATCTGCATGTTTATTCTAAGCCCAAGACACAGAAAATACTGAATTTTAGAGACCTCTCTGATGTAGGGTCCATTGATGCTGACTGCTGGAGGATCTATTGTCGCTGGAGGGGATATATTTTTGCTGGGTGTGGATATTGATGCTATGGAGGTCTATTGTTGCTGGGGGGTGAGTTTTATGTTGCTGTGAAGTCAATTGTTGCTGGGAAGGAACTACTGTTGAAGGAGGGGTTCGTTGTTGCTAGCTGGTGGAGGGTCTATTGCTGGCTGTGCTGAGAGCTGTAGATCTGTTGTTGTTGCTGGGGGTCTATGGTTGCTGGGGGGTATTTTGTTGCAGGTGGTCCATTGCTGCTGGGGGGGTCTATTGTTGCTGGCTGCAGGGGATCTATTCTACTGCTTTTCTCGATATCATTAGCAAATTCTATACAAATTGATTCTTGGTTCTGTATTCCCTAAAAGGACAGTACTGGGAGGTGGGTAAGGGGTGGAACCAATGGATAGTGCGGGGTGGACACAAGGGGTGGCTCGAAAAGGGAGAGTTTCTGCCCCTTATCTCTGAGAAAAAAGCCCTGTTAAGGCCTATGGCTAAACTGAAACGCGTCAGTAACTGTCAAGGTTTTGCACACCATACAATAAAGAATATATTTACTTATGACTGTGTGCCAGATTTGTTTCTTCATTATATTTATGGACTGATAAGCACCCCTCTGGTATTTTCCTATAGCAATGAAGTGGACTTGGGGATTGAGCAGATTTCATAGCTGTAATTAATAAATTAATACTTTTTTTTCTTTTATCACTTTATGACTAATAGACTTCCTTGGTGCTAAAATGCTTATTATAGTAAATTGTCCACCCAAATACTCATGGCTCTATGCACCTCAGAAGAAGGTCAGTTCAGATTAGGGGGGTGGTAGGATTGCAGAGAGCTTACCGGAATTGTACACTCCTGCGAATTATGGCCACTGACATAAAGTCTCCACGCC